TCATGTGTGCTTTACGTTCACGCCGTGGCGTCCGTTAACTCGTCCAGCTCGATCTCCACGCTCGCGCACGAGGCGAAAGGTGCGCATTTCATCCGATTTGAGATAAGGAGCATTTTTCGTTTTATTGCGCGCGTCCTGCGCTGGACTTGAGTGGGATATAAACGTTCGTCTAGCGACGATGAGCGCGAGCATCGCCACGGGCTATTCAATTCGGAAAATTATCGAGGATTGAACGATTTCATCTCGTCACGCTGAGAGTGCGCGACCTTTAGGCCGTTTGCCGGGTTTTTATCTGATGCTTTTCGGCGATTTTGCTTTATTTTAATGGAAAATTGGAATATGGTGAAAAATGCGAGGGATGGAAAGGACAAATCTAACGCGATTTTTCTTCACTTTGCCCCGCGCTCCTACAGTTAAGAGGCAGTTAATTAATACTCGATATGCATTTAATTTTAATTGCTAATGAAGTTCGAGCACGCACTGACTTTCGATTAATGTTGGAGCAAATTGCGTTTTATGAACATCTACAGAGTATTTTATAAGTAAATTTTGAAGAAAATTTTAACAATAATAATTTTTAATTTAAATTTTTATGTTAAGATAAACTAATTTTGGATCAAATTGAGATTTATATAAAATTTGATCTTTTTTCTAATTTGGTATGCGCCCCGGTAGCTGTTTTAATGTGCGTTTTATTGTCAGAGCAAGCAATTTGTTTTTGCAAAACTTTTATGCTCTTTGCTGCCCAACCGTTTTGCTGTGGATGCTTTTTTCACCGCTTTGCAAACGATATAGTTTTTCTTTTCGACCGTTTGCGGTCGCGGGCGGGCATCGGCGTCGTTTTCGTACGTGCGTAATATTTCGTTTTATTCGAGTCTCCGGCGGCGCTCAGTGGCGAATTGTAACATTGCACTTGTTTATTAGATTTATCGTTAGAATGTTTCGACGTGTGTTCCGTTCGGCTTCGGTACGTGCACGTCGTCGGAGTTTACGAAACGTGAAGTCGTGCATATATAGGCCACGTGCCACGTCGGTTTTGGAGTTTGCAGCTTTTCGGACCGATTGAAATGCGTTATAAATTTGCCGCCAAGCTCGACGCACCTCTCTTGTCCCGTCGTATTACGAGGGGCGCTCGCAAAGTCAGCCAGACGTCGTCGCAAGCCGGGAAAAGTAAACCGAGGTCGGTCACAGGTTTGTAGACAGCGGCGGGCACGCATTACCATTCCGGCGGGGCTCCTGCTGGCAGGCACGCTTGATATAGGGATGCAGTTATAAAAGCTCCCACCGCGTAACGAACGATTTACATTCGGGGCCGATTTTATTTTATTTTATTGCGAGTGTATAATTTATGTAATCTACCGTGGAGGCCCCCAATGCCTCGGCCCTAGCGAAAGTCATGAAAATACGAGTATCTTTACTTTTTTTTATGCTGAAACGTAAATATTTTCGTATAAATCAAAGAGTTTTTATGTCACGAGATAGGTAACCCAAATTGCAGAACCAATTTTCCGTCCGGGCTTTTCGTACTTGTTCTCAATATTTTTATTTTTTAGTTTTCAAGTAGGGCGAATTTTTTTATTGATTTATACATGATCTTGCTAGAGTTTGAATAGTTTGGAGTGAAAACGATGGAAGTGCACGTGGGATATTTAATGAACTTTCCGGCATTGTTGAATATGTATTCGAAATGTGAACTATGTGAAGGTGTGCTAACGTGCGATTTCGTGCTAGGGCACATTTCGGCGGAAAAACCTGGAAAGGTAATTTTCTAACTTTTAAATCATACATGAAACTCGGCTTCGGCTTCAAGTGTGCGGTGGCGACCGCTGAAAGCGTAGTAAATCTCATTCAAGTTGAAATGGCATAGCACGTAGGAATATAATACCTACATATTCACGTATTTAACTTGGATTAATAACAAAAATATTGTATTTTGCAATTTATTCGAATTTTATTGTGAACTTTCGAAAACATTGAGGTGGAAGAAACTTTAAGCGTTGTATTTTTTTTTGTTTGGTATTGAATATAAAATAAGCACTCGACTGCTTGACAGTTTTGTTCGTGATGTATTAATGCATTGCGTAAATATTAAACATCATGAGGATTAAGTTGCTTTCAGCAAACAAAACTGATACAAAAGAAAAAATTAAAAAATAACACTTTATTAAAGAATCATTTTAATTTCCTCTTTGGGCACATGTACGAACGTCCCAAAACAAAAAGACAATGTGCATGTATAGATTGGCACTTCTTTTCTTCCATCGCTCTTCCTGCCTCGCTTGTTTTTCTTTATTTGTTTTCTTTTCATTGCGGCGCCGTTGTTTGCGACGCGCGCGAACGACCCGATTCATTTCCGCGCTTCTTTATTTTCCCATACAGTCGATTTTGCACACGACGGCGTGTGTAATAAATTGCATCGACTCGATTCTCATGAAAGTCATTATTGCATAATGCCCATGCCATATACAAGTTTGATGCTGTGCGAAATAATACAGTTTCTTAATTGTGCGACGATTAAAAACCCAGGCATCGAACGCACTGTATATACCTTACTCCTAACTGATGGTTTACCACAAAAGGTACTTTTGTGTGTTGATAAATGAATGGTGCTTCTTAATAACGAACAATTAGAAGCTATTCAGGGCGTGCATTTTTAATGAGATTTCACTCTGCATTATTTCTTTTTCTTTGGTGGTGCGTTTTTTCTTCGCTGCGTAGAATTATTATTTCATGCTTAGGGAAAAGAATATCGTGCGTTGCAGGCCACTCTTTAATCATACCGCAACACAACGAACATTCTTCAAATGCGAAAAGAAGAAAGAAAATATTTTATCTGCAAACAACGAAAAAAAACCAACGTGAATATAAACAATACGTGAGAAAGATTATCTTAAATTTTACTACGGTTTGCTCACAGGGCAACAATGGCCGTAAAATTCTATCTGTGTTATAAAATTGCGAGTACCTAGGAGAGACAACACGAATCCTAACAATGTCCACTCAAAATCCAGGCGAACATAAAATACAAGAAGCAAAATGGCGGCCGACTATGTTTCCGCATCGTGAAGAAAAGCAATTAATATTATAGTTAACGATGCATACGACAATGATAAACGTGAAGGATCATCATTTATTTTATCCATTACGTCAGGATTGATTTTAAATTGTAGTAGGCAACCAAACATGCACGATTTTTATGTTTTCGAGACATATTGTAAGACAGAATATTGGACAATCATACTCACGTAATATTACCATTCGAATCTGTAATAGAAACAGAAGCTTGGAGGTGATTTCAAGCAGACGATGGCAACTCACATGCAAGCATGTTGCATGTGATTAATAGAGATGCCTTTCGGGTCGAAATCTCACCGAAGTGCGTGTGACAGGCGTGCGAACACTCGCTGTGTCTCTGAAAGGGCATTCATGATTTGCGCACATCCTTGCATCCACTTTGTAGGCTCTGTGTAAAATCCGATTGCACTAATGCACTACAAGTTATCGTTGTAATCATTAGTTAATATCGTGATGCATATATTCATGAACATACCTAACACGTTACTCGTTAGTAACTCAACCCATAAACGCGCACGGATATTTTTCGCAGCTAAGAATTCCGAAATGCTGACTGAATGCCCTGGAAGTGTAGAGTAATCGCTTCGGTGGAGATCTATATGAGCGAGTATGAATGCCCCGCTCGCATTCCTCAAGTTAGCTGAATTAAGATTAAATTATCCCGGGGACGTGACCGAATGCGCGCCGCGTATTTGAATCCTTCCCGACTGGTTGGCACAGTTTCGCGGGGCGCAACGGCCTGAAAGCCGGCGTTGAAAATTCAAAGTTTAATATCGTTTTTGAAGATCGCATATTGTCGACGCTCGCGCGCTTGATTCGTGCGGTTTTTATTTGAAATCGCGCGCTCGCTGAGTTTAGCGAAATCTATCCTGGTCGTTTGGGCGTTTTGCTCTCGTCGAACATCAAAAGAACGTTTCGCGGTTAGGAGAATTTCATATGTTCGTCTGAGTTGGCGAGAGTCAGTCAGTCAGAGTCTCATCATGGTCGATGCAGTTCGACAAACTATTACTGCCTCTCATTCTACACTCGTACTTTGACCACCCCCGCGAATATCCTCGCAAAGTTAGGTTAGGATAGTTGTACCTTCTGTGAAGCTGCAGTAATTTTATGAATCTCGTCGAGCGTGTGTATCTATTGAATATGTAATAGTTCGGTGTTTAGAAGTCGCATAGTTTCGAATATGAAGTAATCTACCTTCTAATACGCCCGTTTAGATACGACACGATGCAAACTCTCTCGCTTTACGTTAATAGATTCTGCATTATGTGTGTACAAAGTGCATCTTAAAACTTAAACATAACTAGAAACGTCCAACAACTGTTTTGATTATCCTGTCTGAGGGTAGACAGTAATTTTCGGGCGCCATTTTGAATTTGATAGTACTAAGTAAACGTGTATAAACATAACACATGAATGCTAGTTAAATTTGTTGTTGTTGTTGTGGGTGTTTAGGTTTGGTGTGTGATGTTTCAGTTCCGAACCGAAATTGCCACCGAACGAAATTGACTCCAACAGTGGTGGGTAGCTCATTCGAGCTATGTCATGCAAACGAACGTCGGCACTTCGTCCACAACTTTGCATGCACGCTCGGTTGAACTTCATTGTGATTTTAATGCGGGCGGCGTCAACCGTGCGATTCACACAGAGGTTTCAAAACATGCACTTCTTCTCGCCGCCAATGTAAAAATAGTCATATGTCTGGATTACGGAAAAACAGCGCTGCGCTCACTCGGTTAATATGTGGAGCGAATATCAGACGCGTAGCCGCAAAATGTGGCCACTCGCTACGAGCTAACGCGGAAATGCACGTGACAGGGCCGCGGAAATGCATGATTTACGTTTTTCTACGCCAGCGATTGCAAAGAGAGCCATTTGCAGTTTTTTGTCGAATGGGTAACGAAATTTGTTAAACGTTTGTTTTAAAGGGCGCTATGGATCAGCTGAAAATTTATGACAATCCAAACATGGCGGATACTCAATGTGACACCACTTTCAAGGTAACCAACATGAGCTGTAAACTCAACAGCCGCACTTCAATGATGGAATAGTTTTTTCTGTAACGAATATTTGACGTGAAATTACTTTTTCATAGCTTTTTTGTTATTTTTTACGTTATGATACTATACGCGGTTGCTTTGTTTCATTTTATTTTTGTTTTATCTTTATTTTTACTAGGGATTTAACGACAAAGACCTTTTTCCCGATTCGAATTCACTAAACGATATAGACGTAAGTATAAAAGTATAAAATTGTTAACGGTTTTTTGCATGCTCGGCGCCAATGTACGGAGAGGCGCTCGTAGTTTTCGCATAAAACGGGCGAAACTACTTCGCGCTCGCGCGGATGAAACGAGCGCTTTATATAATCCCGACTGCCATTCACCTCCTTGGCGCAACTAACCCATAAGGCATAACGTCTTCACCTGCTTTCCGACACCGCGCGAGGGTGCGCTCAATTTTTTGCGCTGTTTACAATCCCTCTTCCCATTCCAATTTCGTTTTTTTTTACGAGGTCATTCTCGTCGTCTAACGCTACGAGTTGTAACTACTTATCGCCTGGTGTAACAATTCGGGCGCTGACGAAAACTTTTCTTGCGCAGGTCGTGCGAGGGGACGAAGTCATCGCGCCGGAGGGCAGCGGTAGCGACGGACTGCTTGCTTTTCCGCCGCCACCGCCGCCGCCCAACGGTAAGCACTGCAAATGTTTAACGGAAAATTGCTGTAATAAAGTACTTGATGATGATCCGGCCGCTGCTCTCGAAGGACCTGCGCTGCATCGCGGACCGAAAGGCGATGTTGGACCGAGGGTAAATCTTGCGCGCGTAACTTTTTAACTTAACACTTTATATTCGCTGCTGTTTCTTGCTTGTACTCACAGGGCCCGCCGGGCGAGCCTATCCGAGGACCACCCGGTCCACCGGGACCGCCAGGATTACCGGGCATTCCGGGGGAGTCGTTGGGCGGCACGGTAAAGTTTTTCAATTAGACTATGCGCAAGATCTTTTGATAACACTGAATTTGGATGTTGGTCGGGTGATTTGTATGCTTAGGGAGGAACGTGTGCGTGCAACGTGACGAGTCTGATGAATTCATTCCTCATGCCAAAGATGCTCCCGGGACCACCAGGTATACCGGGTACGGAAGGAAAACAAGGTCCTCCTGGAATGACTGGGCAGCCTGGAATGCCTGGCGAGAGAGGTGCAGAAGGGCCTCCTGGTGAGAAAGGTGATCGAGGAGAGAAGGGCCCTGTTGGCTCAGAAGGACTGCAAGGACAAAAGGGCGAAAGTGGAAGAGATGGCATCCCTGGACAAGTTGGACCTCCTGGTCCACCAGGACCACCGGGTCCAGTAGAGTTCGAAAATCTAGATGTAAGTTGATTTTATAATTTATTAATCATGACTAACCATTAACAATCATTTTAATCATGCAGCCAAGTTGGAAACCAAGGACCTCATTCAAGGTTATCATAAATGAATTTTAATATTTATTATTTTTCCACATTGTTGTATTTTTGTAATTTAGGACGCAGTGCTTGGAGCTGGTGCCATACGACCGGGCAGTCCTGGTCTTAAAGGGGAACCTGGTTTGCCAGGCGCTGCTGGTCAGCGCGGCGAACGTGGATTGCAAGGATCCAAAGGAACTCGCGGCGAAGCGGGTGGTAAAGGTGATCGTGGTGATAGAGGTTTCCCCGGCGAACGGGGACCTCAAGGTTCTAAAGGTGAACCAGGTAGTCCTGGTTTAGATGGGCTACCTGGTACTCCAGGTGCTAATGGAAAGAACGCTGAGAAGGGTGAAAAGGGTGCGCTTGGGCCGGCAGGACCACCAGGTCCACCCGGCTTGCCATTTGAATATGGTGATAATAAAGAGTATGCGGGAACTGTTATTGGTCAGGTAGGACCAAAAGGTGAGATCGGTGATCGAGGGTCTAAGGGTGAACGAGGCGAGGCGGGCGAAGCAGGTATACCAGGTGTGCCAGGAATGAACGGGGCATCAGGACAACCTGGCGAGAAAGGTGAACCGGGTAACAATGGACCTATTGGTCCAATTGGACCGCCAGGAATGAGGGGTGAGAGAGGTGAACGAGGACCGCCAGGACCTATTCATGTTGTGGATTCGGATGCTGCCATTCTCACGGTTAAGGTATGATTGTTTACATGTTGTGGTCTGCGATTATGTGATGTGTCTGTGTCTAGGGAGAGAAAGGTGATCTTGGAAAACGAGGACGCCGTGGAAAAGTCGGACCGCCTGGGCCTGCTGGACCACCTGGTAAGCCTGGAAATGGTGGTGATATTGGTCTTCCTGGTTGGATGGTAAGCATATCTTTTACAAATATGATTAAGACTTCTAATTTCTTCTTTCAAATGCTGTCTTGGGTAGAATAATCTGAAAGTAAGTTTACTTTCCTAATTTTTGATAATAATTATAAATTCTATTATGTTTTGTGTTATATTAGGGTAGACCTGGCGTAGCAGGTATTCCTGGCTCCCAAGGTGCCAAGGGTGAGAAAGGAGATTCTGGGGATGGACGGGTAATCTCAAGTTTTTATCAAAATTGTATTCATTGCCAATTTGCGTGTTAATTCTGTTAATCAGGGTCCTAAAGGTGAAAAAGGTGATCCTGGCATGGACGGAATTCCCGGTCGTGACGGCAGAGACGGCACCCCTGGCCCGCCTGGTCTTTCTACTGGCGACGAGCGTTACATTGCCGTTCCGGGTCCGCCCGGTCCTCCAGGGCCGCCGGGACCGCCCGGCATATCTCTAACTGGGCCGAAGGGAGAACCCGGCATTTCCTCATACGGAGGACCAACATACAATCTGCGACCAGGTAAGCCATCGCGAGAGTGCATGTTATCCCTCGGCTTTGGGCCGTTTAATTAAATCGCCTTATTATGCCGAATGAAAACTAAACGCTCCAATTTAATCCCTTCACTGCCGTCGCTCGAGTAGGACCGGCACGCAGCAGCAGCTTAGACGAGCTGAAAGCGCTTCGGGAGCTTAAAGAATTGAAAACAGGTAAATTATTTCGACACGACACGCACGCGAGAAGCATGTTGGCAAATTTTCTTCTGTGCCGACACACGAAACACCCACAGGAAACGAAACATTTGCATCTAGGGTCTAGAGGATTTCGGACGTGCGGGCGCGTGCAGAGGCAGTCGATGGTTTTGTGACGACGTCTTGAAACTTCAAATTGTTTTATGTCCCGCTGGGGAAACATAAAAACTTTTTGTACGCGAATACCGACGTTAGGGCAATCCGACTGTACTCACAACGTTTATGATTTCATTGTAAAAAAAAATTCAAATACACTAACGCGCGCGGTTTAATCAAAATTAATTTATATTTCGATGGGCTAAGCGTCCATATTACTTGTACTCACTTAAAATGTAATTTGCAAATAGGTTTTGCCCAAATTGCTCATCATATCGAGGGTGCAAAACCTCATGAAACATCCTCTCGAAGTAAATCGACGCGGGTGGCGCGCATAATTCGTGTCCGCATGCAAATATCTCGCTTAATATTTCCATCGCGTACCGCGTGCGGTCCGGTTGATTCCGCATTAATAACCGTATAACATTAGTTTAATTGTTCCGAACCCTTCGGCCTCGTTTGCAACTAACTAATTGTTGAAACTAACCGTGCGGACGGCGCTCGCCCGGCGCGCTTAATAAACACCATGCGAGTGTCGTTAAGCTGAAGTTTGCGCAGTGAATTTTACAGCCATCTGCAAAACTCGGTTTTACAGCATGAGTAAAATATATTCATTCATTCGGCGAGCGCACACCGCCAGTGACATGACAACACCTACACTAACACTATTCTTTGCACACAGCGCATACAAAGCGAGCTCACGAACGAAGAAGATCCTCTTTTATATTTAAAACGTTTTCACTATCGAGAGGTGAGAGCACAACGAAAAATGCTTTCCTCCTCGACCCCCCGCCCGCGTCGAAAGAGACGTTTTGCAAAATTGCCGCACGTTCGCCTCCACGTGCGCGCGCGCGCCTTTGCTCGCTGAAGAAATAAACGTCCCACGTTACATACCCAAGATGCATATCAACGACACACATTTGTCAGCATAAATTTAATTTCCTCCCTTTTCATTCTCGTCGACGACGATATTTCTACTTTTTCACCTAGGTCTGCAATCGCTTATCATATTTTTTCTTCGCGTCACTATAGGTCGTGCCACTGCGAGCCCGCTGATATTCGACCAGGAGCAGGAGCAGGCGACGCGCATCGTCCCCGGTGCCGTTACCTTCCAGGACAAGGAGGCGATGACCAAAATGACGACCGCCAGTCCGGTCGGCACGTTGGCCTACGTTATCAGTGAACAGGCACTGCTTGTCCGCGTGAATAACGGCTGGCAATACATCGCAGTAAGTGCACATTCGCAATCCGCAATTCCCTATTCGCCCGATTCATGTTCAATATGTAATTTTGATTTAGCACTGCCCACTTTTCTCCTGATAACTTAATTGCGATTTCAATTAGGGAGCAGCGTGATACGCGCCTCATACAATTAATATTAATTTCAATTAATGTTGGTTGTAATTAACTGCTTTTCATGTGATTGCTGTCGAGGTTGGCCTGTGTGCGTGCCATGTTTGCGATCGCAATGCGTGATTATTATGCGAAATTGATTTGGAGACGAGCGAAACGAATGCGAATCGGATCGTGATTAATGTTGATTTTCAGTTGGGCTCGCTGGTGGCGATATCGACGCCGGCCCCGTCGACGACGAGCAGCCCGCAATTGCGCCCACCGTTCGAAGTCAGCAATCTGATCAATCACATTCCGAAACAAGCAGATGTGCCTAATGTGAGTCAAGCCCTTCTTTCGTACACACAAAATTTGCATGTTCAATAGCGTTGCGGCGCTCGCCGCGCCAATATTTGCATTTTTACTGTTTGAACTTATGTGCGAATTCTCTGTTTGCAGTGGTATCCTAAAATGGTGAGTTTACAGCCAAGTCCCGCACCTCGCAAAACTGCATCGTCATCTTCCCGCGTTACTTTGCGCGCAAACTGCTTGCAAAGTTTCATTTTTACGATTTCATTGCGAACTTTTTTAATTGTTATTTGTACTTTAGCTGCGAATGGCCGCTCTCAACGAGCCGTACTCTGGCGACGTGCACGGTGTCCGTGGGGCTGATTACGCCTGCTACAGGGAGTCTCGTCGAGAAGGACTTCGCACGACTTTCCGCGCATTCCTCTCTTCGCGCGTTCAGAACGTTGATTCGATTGTGAGGCAACTGGACCGGAAGCTGCCGGTGGCGAACTTGCGCGGAGAGATTCTTTTTAATTCCTGGTCGGAGATGTTCAAGGGTGACGGAGGACCATTCCCGCACCCGCCGCGAATCTTCTCTTTCAGCGGCAAGAACGTCCTCACAGATATGGCGTGGCCTCATAAGGCCGTTTGGCATGGCGCTCTAGTCAACGGCGAACGCGCGCTGGACACGTCTTGCGATGCCTGGCAAACTGGCTCCAGGGACAAGGTCGGACTCGCTGGTTCCTTGCGAGGACCTCGCTTGCTTGAACAGACGCCGTACACTTGTGATAAACGCCTCGTGCTGCTGTGTATTGAAGCAACCAGCGAGCAGACTCCACAACGAAAGAAGCGAAGCATCCACTCAGAAAAGTATAACTTTACCATTGTTGTCACTCCTATCTTCTGATCATGTACCATTGTTTCTCTGTTGTTCTAATAGCTTTATTGAGGTGGACGACGAATTGGATGAAGACTTAATGGACGCAGATGAATATCAAGAGTTCTTAAGTGCCATGTAATATGAAACGCGTAACTTTTTTACGAAACCTCTTCAGCAAGCCGTGCTTACTTTGTACATATTTATTTTCGCTCGCCCCTTGCTTTCCTCTCGACTCGAAGAGAAGAACTCGAAACTTTTTGCGTTAATCTGCGTACGCGAGAATCATTCCCATGCGAGCACCGCAAATTCGCATCGTATTACATCGAGGCGAGCATAATTTATTCCATTTCCAATATTCGTTTATTAAAATCGCCTCGAGGTGCCCGCGCGCGATAAAGAAATAACTTTCGTATCTATTTTGCCTGGATCTAAATTGCGCTCTGGTCGCCACAGTCATCTGGCATGAAAAAGCGGAAAACCAAATTGCTCACCAAGTCAATATTTATAGCCTTTGTTTTCCGCCATCTTGTTTTTTGCATTTATCGCTGCATTTACCATAAAATAAAACTTATCAACTTTACTGTCGTTCGAGTGTAAGTATATCCCAATGAAGTATGCTTGTAGTATGATTGAACTTTCATCATTTTTGTCTTCTGTCTTCGTTATTATTGTCAAATGTATTTGTACTTACAATATTATATGTCAACATAAATAAGCCAAAACAATGTGCGCGTGAGTGTGTTGAATGCTAGTGGTACCGTCCTCTTAAGATAACTTTGTCGTCGTTCAAACGCGTTGCGAGTATATCAGTGCAAACGTGATTTAAATCCATGACCGAAACATATCCGGCCATGATATCAAATTTAAAAACAAACGCAGATTGTTGCATTCTTTTACCGAAACACCGATAATTATATATTTGTTTTGTAAATGTATATTATACTAGTTACTTAACAACTAACCATAAATCGATGTTCGCTATTCAAAGGCTATTCAAAGCTGCCCTAATTCCATCAGGATCACCACCCATTGTCTATGAAGCTCTATAAAATAACAAGATGTATCCCATTTCTAACCCTTTGTCATGTGCATGTGCTTAACAAAAAACGAAAATGGAAACATTTGCAAACCATTGTAGTAGCGTGTAAGATAACCAAGTAGCTGTTTCCGTTGAAGACTATTTGTTATTTATGTTTAATAAAAATACCATGTAAGTACAGCGCTCTTTGTTTGCCGGTAGTTTTAGTTCAGTTTCCACCTCGTTGCTCAACGGTTCGCACTAGATCGTTGTTTTTCAGCGCGTCGGATGGGCTTAATTAAAATTTCCAGTTATACCCATTTGTCTGCGCGTTTGGCCTCCGAATGGGCAATTAACTAATACGCCTTTATCTAATATTAATTCTGTCCGCCGCTTTCAGCCCCAGGCCCAACGCCACTTTTCTTAGCCGCGCAATGTGGTCCAACTCAGAAGCAATTATGCCCTTCGTTACCGTCATAACTTGATGAAAATTTGGATCACGTTTGCGAGAGCTTAGATGAGAATCGTCGTCGCAGGACAATTGCTTCGGATGCTCGCCTAGCAAAAAATTGCACTCTCATTAGAGTTAATTAATCGAATTGCAGAAACAACTGTTTATTATCTAATGCAATTTAAAAAAGGAACCGCCAGCCTCTATTAACAATAAAATTTTATTTTATAGCGGAGTTGTCCATTTTGGGCGTAAAAGGGATTTGTAATTCTCGCAAATATCCTGTTGGGTCATGTGTATCGCATTAATTCTATTTAAATATATTTGTTTTGCAATTCCTAAAATACGTGAGATATTATGCTATCACGTTTCCGAAACCCGAGGCGATTTTTCATCCTTGCGTTTGTTTATAACCCGCTAGTCCTGTTTGCCACCCGAGACTTCGGCATGCTACATGTTCGGGCAAAAATCGGTTATCCCACGCGTGTGGAGCATTTTACCAACGCGATATTAAATTATACGTGTTTCCTTCGTCTATTACGTGACTTTTAGCGGTTATTGTCGTCTGCGAGTTATTACGAACGTATTTATATAATGAAACCGCACGAAATTTAATGTTTGGACATTGTTTGAACGTGGCAAATATATCTTTATTTTTATATTCATATTTAAATAATGCAGTACATTATATTCTCAAGTTTGTAATAATGTTGACATGATTGCAAACGTGTAGATTAAAAGATGATGTAGTGCGTGTATTGTTGTGGTCGGGGTCACCCTTGCATCGGTATTTGTATGTGAACCAGTTTTTATCTCGTGTTTTGCGATTGGCATACAGCATAGGTACTCGATTGCCGCGTAGCGTCTCAGTCAGTTGTTAACGCCGGGTGAGGCGTGTGTGTCTCGTGACTCTTCAATTTTCCAGAGATATCTATTCTGTTAATCGCGTAATATCCAAGTGGCCATCGACGACTAATTGCAACTACTATAACACGAGTGTAATGTTTGAAAAACGCGAATTGATAGTTGGCCCGCGCCTGCACGCGACTTCGGATAATGAATATTAAAATTGTTTTCGTTTACAACATTAATAATATCAGAGTTTATAAACACAACGTTCCATTTTTGTGCCACGATGTCAACACACGAGCAAGCCAACATCAGGTATTAGTCTGATTTTTATCGTCATGTAAGTCACACATTTAGTTACTTTTCTTAATTTCTCGACTTATTTTAAAGTATTACGTAATATTCCTAATTGTACTTTTCGAATGCACGCGAGTGATGAGCGGTATTTGTTATTCGCGAATTGAACATACGCAGAAGTAAAGTTCGAGTGATTTACCGTCGGCCGTCGGATACTACTCTTAGTATTACACCCATGTTTCACTATTCCTGCAATGTGCATAATTAAAATGCTTACAACTTATTGGATAACATTAAAGTGTAAAATTCATTTTGCAACGAGGTATGTTCTCGTGTTTCTTATAGTATATGAAAAAGTTTTTTCTTCTCTGTAACAATATATAGTTATGCTTTGTAATCCTATCCTATCCTATACCTTCGCAAAATAGAAATTATAGTTGTTTTATTCATTTATTTTATTTTGTTTCAATTAATTGATTAATTGGTCCATACATTTTTCGCGTATTATGAGCAAATTACAATAGTTCAAGATTGTTGCGTACCGTCGGCTGATATTCTCGGCTCTCGTTGCAGGTAGCGATCTTGTCAGTGCTCTTTGCCGGCTGTTTTACATGATGTACAATAATATTAGAATTTTCCATTGATATCCAGAGAAATGTTTTGTTTTACGTGGTGCCACTTTTTCGGTCACCCATCTTTGAATTCCAGTAGGAAAATTGTTCAATCCTTTTAATTTTTGATGTTTTTCTCCAAAACCTTTGCATTTTGATATAAAAGATGATTGTTGTCTTTTTGTGTCATCTTCAATTCTTATTTTATAGAGAATTTTTCGTAGATTAAGGATATGAGGCAATGAAAAGACCCCCCTATCTCTTTTAGTTTAGAAGATATCACTAACGAACATATTTCAATACCATAAGAAGACCTTTGCATGATTTTTTCTTATAACCTATTTTTTAAAATTGACTAAATCTCTAATTTAACTAGCCTATCTTATAGAGAATTTTTTGTAGGTTAAGAATATGCCATTCGATCCTGTCTATCCCTTTTAGTTTTGAAGATATCGGTAACGAACATATTTCGATACAATGAGAAGACCCCCCCCTCTTTGCATGATTTTTTCTTATAACCTATTTTTTAAAATTGACTAAATCTCTAATTTAACCAGCCTATCTTATAGAGAATTTTTTGTAGGTTAAGGATATGCCATTCGATCCTCTCTATCTCTTTTACTTTCGAAGATATCGCTAACGAACATATTTCGATACAATGATGCATGATTGCATGATTTTTTCTTATAACCTATTTTTTAAAATTGACTAATCTCTAATTTAACTAGCCTATCTTATAGAGAATTTTTTGTAGGTTAAGGATATGCCATTCGATCCTCTCTATCTCTTAGTTTCGAAGATATCAATAACGAACATATTTCGATACAATGAGAAGAATCCCTCTTTGCATGATTTTTTCTTATGACCTATTTTTTAAAATTGACTAAATCTCTAATGTAATTAGCCTATCTTATAGAGAATTTTTCGTAGGTTAAGTTTAGACGATATCGCTAACGGACATTTTTCGATACAATGAGAAGTTTGCAAGAATATTGAAATACAATGAGAAGACCCCCTTCGTATTGTCCCCTGAATGTGAGTCACTTCTACCGCTACCCCCGTACGGTGCCCTGAATAAAGTCACTTGTACCGCTACCTTCGTGCGGTGCCCTGATTGGGAGTCACTTCTACCGCTACCTTCGTACGGTGCTCTGAATGGGAGTCACTTCTACCGCTACCTTCGTACGGTGCCCTGAATGGGAGTCACTTCTAGCGCTGCCTTCGTACGGTGCTCTGAACACGAGTCACTTGTACCGTTAGTTGTGTGTATACGCACTTGTACTCGTTGCGCTAGGAATTGTAGTTTTTTTGCTATAACCCGCTAACGCGGTCTTAATGTAAGTTCGGAATAATTTTATTAGATGCGGAATTTAAGTCTGTATCTCCCTGTATCGAAATTTATTGCGAGAAAATTCCGTAACGCAAGTTATATTGATAGTTGTGTGTATACGAACTTGTACTCGTTGCGCTAGGAATTGTAGTTTTTTTAATATAACACGCGAACGCGGTCTTACCGTAAGTTCGGATTAATTTTCTTAGATGCGGAATTTAATTTTGTATCACCTTGTATCAAAATTTATTGCTAGAAAATTCCGTAACGCGAGTTATATTAATAGTTCTGTGTACCCGCACTTGTACTCGCTAACTTCAACCGCTACTTTCATACGATACCCTTTGCTAAGTGCTAAGAGCAGAGATTTTTCGTGTTTGTCCCAGATTTTTCATCAGATTATCTCCGTGACTGCCTTTTCATATAGACTACATTCAATTCTGGATTTTAGGATATATTGTTTATACCAATAAGAGAGTACGTTCACAATATACAATGCTTTCATTGCATTGGACTGCATCCACAATGTGAATTGTTTATAGTTCTCACTCTTCATCCTTATCGGTGTTTGTGCATAAACAACTTTTTGTTATCGCGTTGCGGCGCGTCCGGCTAGCTCAGCAGTGTTTGTTCTATTTCTTACTTAGTCGATCGTGCGGTGCCGCGTGGTAAAGACGCGTTTAATTGAACGGCAGTTTTCGCGACGACTAATCGCGTTTCTTGTGATTTCAAGTCGGTAGTTGAATTAAAATGGTCAGCAAAGATAAGATTTAGAAGTAACCGACGAGTGCGGTGTATAGTTCTGAGACATCGCGCGTGGAACCCAGAATTGCTTGGTTTTACAAGATACGCATGTGTTTGCCGTCGGCCGGCGGATATCTCCCGTCGGCTAAGTATTCCTAGTGGTTTTGTTTTGTGTATTCATTTAATTAATAATTTGAAATACCACGACCATTTGTGCCACTTGTGGAGTATTTCACCTACGAAAACGTAAGAAGGTGTGTATCATAAATATTAGGTATATTCTGTTATTATTCGACTAATTAAACAGTCAAATGTGAATTAAACACCCGATAAGGAAAAACGCTCAGTCAAATTAGTAGGAGCTCGGAAAATGGTCGGATTTAATCCACGATGTAATGCAAGTAGTGCAATATTGTCGTTTTCCGTCGGCTGCCTATTCGGTTCCGTTAGGTTCCGTTTGTCGTGTCTGATTATTGCTTTTGTCTCTGTTTGTAATCGGCTTCACGTGTTTGCTAGTTTCTGGGTTTAAGAGATCATGATTTAGTATTTCTTTAAAAGTAGTAATTATAATAATTATTAATTGTATTATTTATTATGTTCTACCCCCGCACCTATCATCTCTCCTGGATATCCAGGTGGAAACAGGTAATAAAATTTGTATTTTTTCTTTTTTGTATCACCCTGTATATAAAATTTTCGTTATACTCAGCGAAAAATGAGCAATCTTTATTGTTTTGTAGTGATTTTCTTTATACATAGAAGATTTTCTTTTGACAACACCCTTTATATGGATTTTTCCTATTCAGCAAAAAAATTGCCAATCTTTATTGCTTTGAAGCCATTTTCTTTTTAAATTGTAGATTTTCTTTTGGTTACACCCTGTATAAAAAAATTCCGTTATGTCACGTGAAAAAATAGCCATATTTGAAGGGTTTGAAAATTTGTCGTTGGCGTATATTCTAAAATGATATTGTTTTATTTTTGTTACACCCTGTATATTAGTTTCCTTGATTGTCGAGTGAAAAGGAGCAAGGTTTATAGTGTTTATTGTTTTTTGTTTGCACTTTAAAGTTTCCTTTTGTAGCACCCTGTATATTTGTTATCATTTTCAATAACGTAGAAAATGAACTATTTGCTAATTTCTTTATTCCGGTAGAACTATACGAAGTGGTATTTGCTTATATGTGCGCGGCTTTGCAGGTCGTAAGTCCTGTTTCAATATGGCGACATGTATTCTGTTGACTTGTAAAGTCTAAACTTGTATTCTATTGTTAATAAATAAATAGTAAGATATATGGACTTCTTTGATTTGTATACCCCTTCTATCATTTCAGGAACAGGTCTCTAAGAGAGTTCCCTCTCTCAGGGGGATGATCCCCTCTATAAAAATTGTTAAGGTAACCTGTATAATTTGTGTACTCCTTCTTTCATTTCAGCTACAGGTCAGAACTTGTAAGAATATTTTTAAGTGTCACCTCTCTTGAGGAGACTTAAAACTTAGAAATATTTGAACAAGACCTTATAAGGATTGTCCTTATAAGGAGTTCCCTCTCTCTGGGGATGATCCCCACCATAAAAATTGTTGATATGCCTGATAATTTCGGGGATGAAGCGCAGAGACATCGTAGCTGTAGGATGGGCCGGGAGCAATGGACGCATCGAAGAAGTGGGCGATCGACCAGAGCGCCGGAGGCGCTCTGGGAGATCGTCCTTAAACTGTCTAACGACACGCGCCAAAAAATTTAAAAATCCGGCCACCCCTGTTTCGGAGTGGCTTTTTCCTGTCTCTTACACCACCTACTCTCTCTGCTCTCTACAACTCCTCCTTCTTTACTCCTCTATTCTAATTCCTCTTCACTGCTCTGAACTGTAACTTTATATTACTTCAACTCTACCTCTACAACTTTCCAATTTCAATATTATTATTATTTGAATTCGAATTCTGTTGCATAGGCAACCCACATTACTCGGATTTATTTCGATATTTAAGAAAACATCCGTGCTCTACTGGGATTCGAACCATGAATCCCTAACGTGCAAGTATAGGCATATGCACCTGAGCTATTGAGCTCTCTTATCAAACCTTATTTGTTTCAGGTATAGATGTTGCACTTTTATTCCGGTTTTTAAAAACAATAACATAACACTTACTAACACAACAGTTGACGACGGCATCTGCGGAGGTGGGATAACTTGCAATGGATCGGAAGATAAGAAATAATAATAAATAATGAAATGTGGACGGAAAACTCCGGAAATTACAAACTTTATTTGCACATTGATTTAGATTCAATATTTATAAAGTACCATTATTGTATACAATAAACTAAAAAGGATTCAAAAATTGCACAAGCTATATTGCAAAGAAACAATTTCTCGAGAGAGCTCTATGATTCCGCTTCTAGACAGCAGCAAAATCATTACAAATAAATAAAATCACAAAAAGTAAACTGAACTACTACCTGAACTACGCCTGTAAAGTACAATGCGCTTCGTTAAATAAATCAAATAAAACAATAATTGTAGATATAAATATGCTGTAGTTTACAGACGCTTACAGCGTCCACGTCTTATTTTAAATAATCCTAATGTTTTATTGTAGATGAAAGTCGGATTAATTTGTCTTAAGTTAATTTAATGTTATCATTTACGCAATGTCAACTTAGCAAATTAATAATCTCCGAGCGGCGTGAGTACAGGTTCCTATACATGTTTATCGTTTATAGCCATTGGTGTACGATTTAAATTCGAATCATACAACTTAGTCGCGCAATGTCGAATCGGAACGTAAATTTTTAATAGATTGCATGAATCAATTATGTCATAAAAAAGTTATTACTTATTGGCTTTGCTTAAGTTACTTATTACTTTGACTTATCCTAACAGTTAATACATTTATTGTTCCTCTAACGTAACAGTCTTCAATCAAATGTTGTGCTCCTTGCATTTAAACGTAAAAACTTCCTCAAAGAACTAATTCATAATTTAGGGCGCATTTTTGGAGTGATGTTTAATTCGTTCCTCGTTTAGATTGATATGTTTGTATTATTCATCAAGTTTCAATTTCAAATTGCAAATTTAGTGAGCCTTTTGTCTTGTGCAATAGCTCATTCATTAATGAGGAGAATCGTCAAGACTGGAATGAATTAGACAAACAAACCACTTTTGGGTATTTTCAGGTCATATAATCTAAAGAAATTGATTCTAAAGCATAATAATTTAGAAATAATTGAGAAATTACTGGCCAATTTCGTCATACTTTAGAAAATTTTCATTTCAATTCAAGTTACGAAAATATCACAGTTTAATTTTGTTAGCAATTAATAATTTGTTTTTATGTCACGCATTTTTCGTGATTTAAAGTCTGACTAGACAAGAAATTTTGAACTTATTTCAATATTGCACCTCATTTTCATCTTCAAATATTACAAATTCGTGTCAAATCGCGCCTGGCCATTTGTTAAGCTGTCACTTAACCCAATTAAATTTAGAATCTTAGTTAATAACTGTCAACTAAACTAATAGGAATACATTTTTAATCTCTCGCAGCTAAACTAGAAGTTGCTTACTTTCTTCTTTTTGATAATAAATAGTAGCATTCGTAAATAAGTACGAAACGTATCACATAATTATAAAACAAACAAATACCGATTCGTTTTTGCATCCTTTTCAAGGATAATAGTAAAGTTTTTAAATAAAAATGAACTTAACCTTAACATTCGAGATTATCATTCGACAGTGGCACTTTTCAATCGTTGAAAAGTTATGTTTCTTCATAACGATGTTTATCTTCATTCTTCCAAGAACTTACTTGAATATGTGGTGGCGGTAAAAAACTACGCAACGATTGAATCAACTGAATCGTGTCCATTAGAGCTACAGAAAGAAAGAAGAAAACATTTATTTTCTCGTTTTAATTCTAAAATTTAAAATGGAGTCTTACTCTTTTGCAACGCTTCCGACTGTTTCCCGTACGGCTTGCACATTGCGGGTCTAACATAAGTCTTCATTCTCGCCATGTTTTTCATAACTTCCGCAAACGCTCGAACAATCTTCTCTTGCCCTCCGTCTCCGCCCCGTTTATCTTCATTAGCACCATTGTTGGCCCAAGCACCGTTGTGCAAGGCCAACAAATCTTTGTTCGATGATGAAAGTCCTTCTAAATTGTCAAGATTTGCTCTCAAAAAATCAGTCAACTTGTGCTCCAATGGCATCTCAAAATGCTTTTGACTCTGACTTTGGCCTTTCGCCACCGCAGCCAAATCAATTTGATGTTGTGCCTGTTGTTGCTGCTGCTGCGCTTGAACTTGCTGTTGAATAAGTTGTTCGCGCTGTTTCTGCAAATTAGCGTTCAATTTCTCCATATTCTGTGCTGCCATTGCACGACTCGCCTGTTGTTGCTGCATAAGAGCAGCTTGAATTTGTTGCTGGCTCGGTGCAACTGACTTAGGCCGTTCCATCAACCCCTGTGTTTTAGTGGTCTCCAGACTTGTTTGTCCAGTTAAGTCAACTGCATTCATCAAATGACTGCTTAGATTAGGTGGAATTGGCATTGGAAATTCGGCATTGAAGTTGGTACCTCTCAGTGGATTGTCAGCAGTGGTACTTTGTCCTTCCTGGGCAAGAAAATTGGGATTTCCGGCTGCTAAGTGCTGGAAAGTCTTTTGTGTCAGCTCCATTTGATTCTTATAGAAGCGACAAGCGGGATTGGGGCAATTTTGGACCACCTCAATTATAAACTCTTTCTCCATACCAAATTGTTCTCTACCAATGGTATATGAATCCATAACAGCTCTTACTGTTGCCTCCACACCAAGATGTAGCCCATGTGGGCCATTCATGTGTTTCAGCATGACAGCATTGGCAAAATGTTCAAAAGGAAGAATTATTTTACCATTTTCTCTAAGGATTAGGCGACCTTGTGAGTCCAATGCAACTCTGCTAGCCATCATTCTGAAAGCATGTTTATGCTATAGTTAAACACACCAGACTGCCATCACAAAATACATTTTAGCAGACAAATATAAATCAGATAAGATCAAAGCTTATAAAACTCATTAGGCGAAAGCTTAAAATAGCTCTCAAGCCTTCCATCTCAATTTCTCATCATTTAAAGTAAGATATGCCCATAAAGCAACAAATACCAAACAAACAAAAAACTTACTGTAAATATGCAGCACTGGGTAACATTGAAGACTCCTTCAGTTCAGTAAAGCATTGCAACAGCTCTACAGATGGGTTCCATCCCTTGTTCTGCAAATATAACTGCAGAAGCATGTAGATCTTCTCAGTCACATAACTTTGCCCTGGAAAACCCATTGCAGCTGTGGTGGGCAGATCACTGACAGAAGTCTGCTGGATGCCCTTGGCTAGAACGTTCTTCATCGTTTCGGCGAGGTCCATCTTCTTCATTTGAAGGCCGGTTGTGCTGGATATCAGCGGGCGGATATCAGGTGTGCGTTTCTGATAAACGTGATGCCGATGGATGTTGGGTGATGGTACTAGCGCTGTGGAATGGACGCCTAAAAAGATACAATACTCGTAAACACAAAAAATCGCGCCAGAGCGGAACGAGAGAGCGAGTTTAATGATTTTCAACAGGGGATATGTGTTGCGGTTCATTTAATTACCATTTATAATGAGTCCTTCCTGCGATCGCACATCACAATCATATCACAGACGGGACAGTCGGCGCACAGTTGAGAGCGGCGCGTTCTGTCACACGCACACCAGCGCGATAATGTGAGGAAGCTGCGTGCCTACAGAACACACGCGCAGGTAGAGTTCGTTGCGATTCGCTGCTGTCGATGCTAAACTATGCAAGAATGCAATTTATGTTTGTGTGTGTTTTTTAAAGCGGATCCTAGTTCTTAATTTGACCGTCAAACACAAGTGAGCGCTGCCATCGATAAAGCTCCTTTCACACCTACAATATAATGGACAATCATGCTAAATTATAAATATTTTCAAAATATACAGAATTTAAGCCCCAACATCTTAATATTTAACAAGATATAATAATTAAATCTTCCAATACATAATAACATTCCACTATTAATGTGATAAAACTTAATATACGCACATTGAAGATAAGTTTAACACCGCACAATCAAAGCATCAAGCAAAATATGACGTGCGACAACTTTTGAGTTATGAAGTTCACGTGTTTAACCAAAAAAATAAACAAATTTGTTGGAGTTCTCTGAACTGTCCTTACAATTTTGTGCAATGGAAAATAAAAGTGAAGATGTCGATCCTACCGAAGCAGTAGAAAACGCGTGGAAGTTAAAAGTTCCCGAGTTTAAACCCGAACACAACCCACACGGACTACTTGAAGAAAGTAGTTTTGCGACTTTATTTCCGCAATACCGCGAACAATACCTTCGTCAAGTATGGCCACTCGTACAGAAAACTCTTCAAGAACATCATATCGTTGCGGAATTGGATGTGGTCGAAGGTAGCATGACCGTTAGAACGACCCGCAAAACATGGGATCCTTATATTATCATTAAAGCAAGAGATATCATCAAATTGCTGTCTCGAAGTGTGCCATTTGAGCAAGCCAAACGCGTTTTAGAGGATGACACAAGTTGTGATATTATCAAAATTGGTACAATCACAAGAAACAAAGAGAAATTTGTTAAAAGAAGACAACGTTTAATTGGCCCCAATGGTTGCACATTAAAATCTATAGAATTGTTAACAAATTGCTATGTGCTGGTACAAGGCCAAACTGTCTCAGCACTGGGCCCATACAAAGGTCTACAACAGGTCAGGAAAATTGTGGAGGAGACTATGAAAAATGTGCATCCTATTTATAATATAAAGGCTTTGATGATTAAAAGAGAATTAGCCAAAGATCCCAAACTAAAGAATGAAAATTGGGAGAGATTTCTGCCTAAATTTGTTAACAAAAATATTAGTAAAAGGAAACAACCTAAGAATAAAAAGGAGAAGAAGGTTTACACACCATTCCCACCAGCACAAACTGAAAGCAAGGTTTGTTAAAGTTTGAAATATTGAATGTTCTAAATATAAAACATGTATGTTTGTGTTATTTATAGATTGATCAACAACTGGCCAGTGGAGAGTACTTCCTTTCAAAGGAGCAAAAACAAAGTCAGAAACGCAAAGAACGCGATGACAAACAACAGGAGGCTGCTAAACGCAGGGACGCGAAAAGAGCAGAGGCATTTGTTGCACCAGTTGAAGAATTACCTCAAAAGAAAGCTAAAGTATCTAAAAATACTGATGTGGATATTGAAGCTCTGAAAACTAAGGTGAAAAAAGCTCAGAAGAAGAAATCAAAGACGAGTGGATAATAATATACCTATTAATAATTTCGCATGTTAAGAATTATTGAATAAATACATTTCTCGAGTATTATTTTGTTCGATACGTTGGAAAGTAGGCAACCTTTTGACCACCACAAGAACAAAATCCCTGTTCCCTGATTGGTCGATTGAGTCGCCTGGCAACTCCCACACATCAACAGCCAGCCCAGTCAGCTACCATTTTGGCCAGCTGTCAGTTGTCACCTAGCTTATCAAATGTTTTTTATGGTTAGTGAGCGAATATGTAATTATTTATAAATATTCTTCATGTCGCCCGAACTGCGATAAGCCAGCGTCTCTAAGTAGGGATGTACGCCTAGGAAAGCGGAAAGATCAGGTGCGTATCGATCTCGCTCGCGGCCGCTGCCGCAAGGCTACGCTGACTCACGCAGCGTCGAGTCGTAAAAGAGTCGCAAGGTTAATTGTTGTTAATGCCAAAGTGCCAAAGGTTTCGTCCGAGCCGAATTAATGCGCATTCGTAGTTGCGGCCGCCAACCGTTAACGCTTTGGCAATAACAACAAACTGCCCTGGTAGCGAATTCGCGTACATGAACTTTATTGATGTTGATAACATGTATCATGTAAGTTCACCCACACGTTTTCGCACGCGCGAAACAAACTGAACACTGATGCGACGCGCTTTCGAATATGTTTTGTTATGTGATGCGCTTTCTTATCTAATCGCAACCGACGTCGCCGCCGCCTAATCAATGCCACATCCTTCACATCAACAGTTATTGCTGTTTTAGTTGTTAGCATGGGCTCTGTCTGGAAGCGCCTGCAACGGGTCAACAAAAGGGCGGCCAAGTTTCAATTCACTGTGTCCTACCACCAGCTAGCCATTGAATTTACTTCAAAATGGTGTGTATTGTATGCTTTTCTGTAATCAATTGACTGTCCTTGGCCAGACACCTATTCCTAATGTAGTAATTAAGATTGTATGGCAATTGTTTCATTGATTTGTAACCTGTGTAGGGAACCACACAAACTTTCAATTGTATGGACGCGAAGGTCGCGCCGGGTTGTTACACCTCCAATGCAATGGGAAAGAACACTGCAGAACACATACAAGGCGCTAGTTGTGTGGCCGGTGCCCGAAAATCACCAGGTTGCCATCAATCTCTTCAAAGGCCGCGGCAATGACTTCGAGGAGAAGGACTGGCACTTTGTTATTGAGGATGTAAGTACTTATTATCATTTAAAATGATATTTTATTAAATTCAATGATGATTTTTGGATACTGCACATAAAATTATGAATAACTATGATATTTCTATTAAATAATTTTCCTACTCGTCAAGTTTAAGTCTGAGATTACTGATATCAAACATAGAAATATTTATTCAAGAATTATTTAAATAAATGAATAATTTTTTAGGTTGCATCGACTGGAAAACGAAGAAGACTCGCTGTTACCCAATTGAATATGGGTAAATATGCGAGCATAGACTCATCGCAACATCCTCTACACTTGAATCTTAAGCCAACGACGAAAAAAATCACAAGCGCCAAGTTAGAATGCACATTATCGTGCATGTTCCTCCGTGAGGGGAAGGCAACGTGAGTAATTTCCGTTTAAGAACGGATGCGGGGTGATAATAATGTACGAAAATAATTTCTATTTGTAATTTACAGTGATGAAGATATGCAATCAATGGCTTCCCTAATGTCGGTAAACAACAATAGTGATATAGCTACAATGGAAGACTTTGAGGATGAGGATCTATCACAAGGTGATTCTATGAAGGCCAGTCTCAACGAAGTCACAGCACAAATGCAGCTGATGACAAACAGTTTATCTGGTTCAGATTTCGCAAGCACCCCACTCAGTGGTACAGTTTTTATATTAAAAATCATCTGACAATTTTAATTTAAACTTTAATTTTAGTTGCAAGTTTAAATTCATTATCACGTCATGATAAAACGCCAACAGCGGATGCGATGTTATCTCCCTCCGGGCGAGGAGATGAAGCGCAAGGAATAAAACTTAATTTACCGCTTCCCAAATGTGGTGATTTTATTGTGCCCGAAAGTGATCCGTACTCTGAACTCTTCGAGAAAGAAATCGACCGACTCGATGATCCTGCACTCGCGGATGAGTGCGATCACGAGGAGGCGAAGACGCCGAAGCCTGTTGCCCAGCCAAAACTACCATCAGCCAACACCATCAAGACTGCTAGCAATAATGTGAAAACCGATCTATCCCTCAAGTTAAAAGACTATACACTTGAACCGAAAACGCAACAGAAATTGACTACTCCAGGTAGATGCTTAGATTTTTATGAATTTTATACCCTACAATAATTTGATTTTGTATTGTAGGTCAAGATTTACTCGAGTGGTGCAAAGAAATGACGAAAGACTATCAAGGCGTGAAGATTACGAACCTGACAACGAGTTGGCGCAACGGCATGGCTTTTTGCGCCTTGCTGCATCACTTCAGACCCGATTTAATGTTAGTGCATACATATTTCTATAACTGATAATTTTATTGATTTTATTATTATTTTTGCAGCGATTTCGATTCGTTATCATCGCATAACGTACGCGGAAATTGCAAGTCTGCGTTTGATGCCGCTGAATCGTTAGGAATTCCGCGCGTGATTGAACCCTCTGACATGGATATGCTCGCCGTGCCCGATAAACTCGCCGTGATGACTTATCTATACCAACTAAGAGCGTATTTCACAGGACACGAACTGGAACTACAACAAATCGGCAAAACTTTCGAGGAAAGCAATTATGTTATCGGAAGGTTTACGACCGATAAAGACACAGATGTAACTAAACAACTCTTCGGACAAGAAATAATAAATCTGCGAAATTCGAAACGAAACTTTAAGAAAGACAAATCAAAAGAAAAGTCACTATCTGAAGAAAAAGAAGAACCTGTGGCGAAGGAAACCGAAGAAAAGGACACAAAAACATTATCTGAACAAAAATCAAGTTTACATCTTGACTTAGCAAGAAAGAATGCCCCATTAAAGGTGCAAATTGAGTCGAAACCCGTAAAAGTTTCGTCTGAAAAGGCTGTCATAGTGGCAGTCACACAAAAGAAAGACGTTGAGGTCCCAAAACAAATATCCACGGAAAGTACGAAAGAAACAACTAGTGAGAAACCACCATTGATGACGCGTCGCGAATTGACGGATCCGTTTGGATCGGACGAGGACGAACCGAACGAAGGTGAAAAGCCGGTGACGGATAGTAAAAAGGAAAAAGAAGTCAATGGAGGCCCGCCCAGCGCGAATACTGTCGTGGATACGCCACCCGCCGAGCTAAAACTGAATGCTGTAAGTGAGATCTTGAACTACTTTTCGCACCACATACTGCACATAGTTTCACATAGCCTAGACGCATTAACGCGTTAATTCGCTCTTTAGTTGGTTTATTTTTTTCTTGTTTTGTTGTTTTATTGCGTATTATTTGATTGCTTAATCTTTGCCCACGATCACCAGCACATAATTAATCGCTACTCGGAGCAGCGAGAGCGCGCCAAGCAATTGCTGGGACAAGTCAAACGAGATAATTCCACAACGCCAAATCGGGTAATTTTATTTTTTTAATTTCCATTCACCTTTGTTTCTGTATCATTTCTAGTGTTACTTCACTGTTTTCTTGTAATTTTTTTTGACCTGTTGAATGTCTTATACGATTTAAACGAATGATGTTGATGCTCGTGTGAATTTTAGTCCGAGGAAGAAAGGCAAGCAGAATTACGTGAACGTGCTCGTAAACTAATAGCGCAAACACGCAAAGCTACATCACCGACAAGCGAAAAGTCTTGTCCTGATTTTGAGAGTAAGCTAAGGGAATTGAGGGAGAAATCAGAAGATGTCGACGCGGAATCGAATGGCATCGTCAAATCGCCTGCACCACCCTTATCACCGACCAAATCTAGTCCGCTGCGCAAAGATATTACGCCTGAAATGTTACCAAATGGTTTTCGCTTAATCGATGTAAGAATAAAAATTACTCTTTTCATAACACTATACCGATAATAATTTTAAAAAATTCTTAGATGGGTATTGATATCGATGTGGATAAAGAATTAGACGACCTAGAACGCGAACAGTCCGCAATCGATAAGCAAGCCGCCAAGTTAGAGAAGAAACTGCGCGCAGTGATGGAATCGAATATGAGTAATTCCGAAGAAGAGGAGGCGCTCATGGCGCAGTGGTTTACGCTTGTTAATAAAAAGAACGCGCTATTGAGGCGGCAAATGCAACTTAACATTTTGTAAGTTACAATTATTCTTCTCCATAAATCTATCATCTCTTTACATTAAAAATTTGTTAACAGGGAAAAAGAAAGTGACTTAGAACAGCGATATAAATCCCTGAACGCTGAATTGCACACAATTCTCTCGATTAACGATTGGCAAAAAACTGACGAACAGCGAGCGCGAGAAAAGGAGTTGTTGGATGAGCTCGTTGTGATTGTGAATAAACGCGACGAACTCGTACATCATTTGGATACTCAGGAAAAGGCGTAAGCATGCATGAACAAGTTTCTCTGATGTACATCTTCTTATCCTCCTTTTTTTTTTGTTACAGGATTGAAGAAGACGACTTGATTGAACAAGATTTATCACACATGGATTTCCAAAACAAGGACAAGTGCTTAATACAATAGGCTGCGCGTATGCAACGTAGAGATTAACATTCTTTTAACGAGTCCCGAAAATCGAAATATGAACCTTTTAAGTTATTGATAAAATACATAAAATATATAAATAGTGCGTATATATAGATTAACAACTTATTTTTATTATGTGTAAATGTAACTTGTATGTGAGGCGAGGAACCGTTAGTCCATAGTTCTTTATTTATATTTTTCGATGATTTTGAAATGAAAAAGACACTATAGCTTTAATTAATTTTTAAGTGTGCTTTTGTGTTATCTCTGACAACGTGTATTTATTCTCACGCATCCCTCTCCCTTTACTTTACTTCTGCTGTATATTTTGACGAAAACAAATCGCGATCGGAAAAGAAGCGCTACCCACTGTACACAACATGTAACGACCGAAACTAACAACAAATAAATTGTAAACTTATTTGTAGATTTCTTTGTATGATTTACCCGTAGGTATCGTGCATAGATGCTCATCAATATTTATCGAGGGAACGTAACAAAGCTTTATATTTATTTATTTATGTGTGAAGTAAGCATTAATTTAATGTACCATCTTCAGCGTGAAGAGTTACGGCTATCCGAAGTTGTAAGTCGATTTGTTGCGCTCCATTTTTGGCGCTTGCTATTCAATTGTATTGTAATTCAACAGCAATTTATTGTATGTTTAATACATTTTGACGTGTACACTCGTACGATATGCTCCAATCTTGTTGAACATACATAAATAAACAAATATGGTTTGTGAAAGTGTGATTGCTTCGGAAAACTTGTAATCCTGGTGTATTATTTATTGTAAGTCCTCAGATTTATAAAAAAGGAGGCAAATACTAAAAAATAATTTAAAAACCTTATTGAATGAAATAATACCTTGCGGTTAAAAAAACATAACAAACACCCCGTATAGTGTTGGTAGAAAAAACAAATAAATATGTTTTATGAAAGTGTAATTACTTCAGAAAAGGACTTCGTAAAATTCCAATTTTAAAAAGGCGTGATAATCAAGGAAAATCAAAGTAGCATACTCCAACGCAACACTAGTTACGCCACTCGAATCTTTTTTTTTCTCAAAATTCTGATGCATCTTCAGCTTCGATTTCGCAACGCAAGCGTTTTTCTTTATGGAAGTAATTAGCTACGGCCGCGCTGCGCTCCGAATACGTGTATGAGTCGATTAATTAATTATTTATCGTCCGCTCTTCAGCGCGTCCAGTACTCATCAGCAAGATTCATCAATTATCCACTGATTCAGCGGCGATGCAATGCAGCGCATTGATAAATCAAAATTACTTTCTCTTCGCGCGCGCGCGTCGTTATCGGTATCTGGAGGCTGCTGAATGGAAGCGAAGATGCGTCGCATTTTTTCGTGCGGCCTTGAGCGGGATTTTTTCGCGCCTTAAATAGATTTTTTCTGTCGCTAATTGCGAGCGCGGCCGGCGCGTAATCGCCGATTAATCAAAGACAAACGAACGGCGTAACAGTGCAATAATGATGAAACGTATCGATTCACGATCGATGCAGTCCGTCATGCAATGCCGACACGTAGCGCGCCATATATTGCGCACACCAATGACAGAAACAATTTTTTTTTACAAATTCAATTTCGTATCAGCGCCGAAGTATACGAGAATGCTGCTACCATTGCTACCGATTACTTGATGCGCATGTTGCGTTACGTTTTCAGGCGATGCGCACATAAATAAGCGGATTACATAGCGCACACCGCGGGCACGATGCAATCGTGGAGGCGATGCGGCGAAAGAGGCGAAACTGGAACACTTCGCCCGGTGCATCTTCGAAGCTGCGCGCCGCTGCGCGATGGCTATAAAAGTCTAAAAATTATGCGGCGTTCTATTGAAAAATGGATGCATTGCGCACACATACGCAGGCCTGCACTAGATACATGGCAGTGAATCACGATTTGCTTTCTATATAAAGCGCACATCGGCCATCGAAGATTTATCAGTGCGAATTACAACAACGTACGCTAACAACCACCTGAAGCGTCTTCGCTTATCTAACAATTTGTCGCGATAAAACATAGTCAATTCTCTGGAATAAATAATGTTTAAGGTGATTTTTCATAACCACCCCCACACTATCCGAATACTAAAATAATCTTGTGTGCATTTTCCAGCTCTTTTGTTTAATTTTCGTGATCGGGTGTGCGTTTGCCGAGCCACCGCCGAGTTATCTGCCCCCTAGTGAGTAGCGCAAAGAACCAAACATTCCAACTAACCTACAAAACACTACAACACTGCAACCCTTATTTCAGAACTATCGCTATTTGTGCAACTAGACTCCTTTGACAATAAACTTGTTGTAGATCAGGGATACCTTCCCCCTGGTAACGGTGGTCCACCAAGTGGTAGTTATGGACCTCCAAGTGACACGTACGGCCCACCAAATGGCGGCAATGGCAACGGAAACAAACCACCACCAGTATACGGCCCTCCAGAAGACGCCACCGAACCCGCAAAATACTCTTTCGAATGGGAAGTGAATGATCCAGAAAGTGGAAACGAATACGGACAGAAAGAAGAACGTGATGGTGATAACACCGTCGGTTCCTACAATGTCCTGCTTCCCGATGGTAGGAAACAAATTGTCGAATACACCGTTGACAAGGACGGTTACCATCCAGTCATCAAATACGAAGGAGGTAAGAAAATTTACTATCAATTTTTTAATCAAAGCTACAAGTAATATTTTAAAAATCACAGAAGCGAAACCAAATGGCAACGGTGGTGGATATCCATCTGGCAAACCCAACGGCAATGGAAACGGCGGTTACCGCTACTAAGTGATACACCCTTATACATCTTCCCACATCTTCGAAAAGAATACCGACTTGTAAGTACAACATTGTAGCGTTAGCTGATGAACGTAAAACGGTTGACGAACATTTAGCGTTGAATTAAGGTTACCGAATATGTTTATACACAATCTAATGTATACTATTATTATGTATTACTGTGTATTATAATTTAATAGAATTTATGCTAAGTTAAACAGTCGTTTGCGCGTGTTTTGCGCTTAATAAACATTAAAAACAAATATCTTCCATTGTTTTCTTTGTTATCCAATATAAAACAAAACACAATATGGCGGCGGTGGACGGCATTACGCAACCAGGTTAGTTTTATCAACTTCAGATTGAATCCAAGATAAAAATTCAGAAACACGTGTATAAATACCTGGAAGGAAGGGTCGGGCACATCCTATTCCAGTAGATACCACGCCGATGATGCTGAGATTGGAGTTGTCATCTTCCCACATCAGAGGACCGCCACTATCAGCCTAATATAATACATAACAATTAGTAATGCAATAAATAAGTTATTGAATGTATTATACCCAGCAAGCATCAACTCCACCTTCCTTTCTCCCAGCGCATAGTTGAGTATGATCAATTTTCGTCTTTTTGCCTTGTGAATGATACCAACTCCGACATACGTCATTGTTTAAAATAGCTACTTTTGCTTTTTGTAATATACTCGTTTTCTTATCACTATCTGTGTTATTCTCACTTGTTCTACCCCAACCAGCAACAACAGCCCAATCACCATCAGCAAATTTAGATGAAAAACACGCAGGTTGTACAAGATCTGACCATGTTACATCAGAATCTAATTCCAAAATGGCGATATCATTCCGTGCCTTATTACATTTGTATTCGGGATGCGTTGTGATCAGTGTTACCAACATTTCTAGAGCATTGCCGGTAGATGCTAAATCGTGTTGACCTGTTGTTACTTTGATGCTAGCCGGGTTTATGAAACCATCTACACCACTATTCACAATATTTTAGTTTGTTACTTTATATAAAGTTGGTTAACTTACTTGCAGACGCAATGGCCGGCTGTCAAGACATGGCGTCGTGAAATGAGGGAGCCACCGCAGAAATGGTAACCTCTTCTTGTCAGTGATACCAACCAAGGGAATTCCCCAGGAGAAGCGTCGCCCCCACCAACTACTTTGCTCTGGCCATTTTTGTTTTCACATGATACTTCTGAAACTGAATTTTAAAAATATATAGAAAGCAAAATCGATGTGTTAAAAAAACTTGCAGTTTATGAGTTCATTGGCTGCACACAAGCTAAACCACATGCATAAAATAAATAAATGTATGTTATGCATTGTTATTGCGTTTGTTGTGACTAATCGACAACAAGTACTAACTTTTTACGGCCTTTTGTTTTTATATTGACTTCCCCATCCCAATTTTTAATGAATGCGGAAAAAGTTTGATGCAAGTACGCGAAGGGTAATGAATAAAACACTATTAACGAAATACCGTGAAATTCTTGCTCCACCATAACCTTGCCCGGTCCTCAATTCATTGTCAGAATCGCGTGCGTGTTATTGTTGATGATAACAGCACACGAGTTTGTGCAATTGAAAATTATACAATGCTGCCTTTCACACCTTCATATTGGTGAGAATGTGTGACAAAGTCAATCTTTGTTTGCGCAATTCGTATAATGCATTAATTTCACGGATTTCACTATTGCGGGGGATTTATTCGGAAGGACAGAGTCAAAACAAATGAAATGAAATCGAAAAGAAAGCATAAATATCAGATTGCGAAAGTTAGGACCTATTGCAAAATATGTGAACTGGTATCAGTTGGGTTATAATTTCATATTCTCTTTGATTTAAGGCAAGTAGTAAATATTTTCACACTTACATTTAAGTAGACAGAAGTAGTGCTTCACACGAAGATACTATTTGTTGAATAAACACTAAATTCACAACTTTTACTTTATAACAACGAAAACTAAACTTGCTAATAGACGGAAGAAACAATGAAAACTCAAATGATCTTCAACCGTCCCCTGGCCACCTCTCGAGATAACCCTAATTGTTTATTTGACTGACAGATGTCGCTTAGGTTTACAAATTACTTTATGAATTATTCGTGCGTTTTTTATCAGAATACCATTAAAATTATCATATTTATTAAAGTTTAAAAGTTTTGCAATTACATTTGGACATTCATTGATGCCTTTTCGGCGTTTATTGCTCAACTGTCAACAATTTAAAGTCGTGGTTGTTGATTTGGTTGACACTTCGCAAACATCAGTTCTGTTCTTGCACAATTCGATAACTACACGTCAGTAAACAAACGGTCGTAGTAGGTCCAGCAATTTTTGTTGGCGCGTTTTATCAGTTTGCGCTGTGCAATGCAAGTTAAATAACGCATCGGTTTCAACATTTACATATTACAGGTAAACCTTACATCAACATCCACATTAACATTACCATTACCAAAAAACATGTTTTACATATCTGAATGTTAACTGCATCAGATAGTAAACTAGTTAATCCAGTTTAAGGCAAATTACATCTACTAAAAGACCTTGTACTCATACCAATTAATTGTCTTTCAGATCTGCAAGGCTTTTGCCAATAATCTCATTTGTCAAGAACACAAAACATTGAAGACAAGAGAAGAAAATGTTAAAATTGAAATTATATGCCACAGTGGCATTTTTATGTGTGCTACAAGTGTGTGTAGCACCACCAGTGACACAAAAGAAGCCTGAAGATGGTGCAGACAACACTGAAGGACTAGAAGATTATGTAGAGTATCATAGATACATCAAGGAAGTAGTCAAGGCTCTGGAATCAGACCCAGCATTCAGGGAGAAACTTGAGAAAGCCAATGATGTGGACATTAGAAATGGAAAGATAGCTTCTGAGTTAGAACTTGTAAGTCACAATATCAGAAGTAAATTGGATGAGATCAAAAGAATTGAGTTGCAAAGATTAAGAGACTTGGCTGCTAAAAGAAATGCTCTGTTGAATAATGAGCTTGATCAAGATGATCCAATGCATCATCACATTCAACATGAGAATCCACATACATTTGAAGTGGAGGACTTAAAAAGACTCATTGTGAAGACTACTGAAGATCTGGCAGAGGCTGACAGGAGAAGAAGAGAAGAATTTAAGGAATATGAACTGCAGAAGGAGTTTGACAAGTTTGAAAAGTTAAATCACACTGATAACACTGATGAAAGACATAAACTGGAGCAGCAGTATAAGGACATGGATGAGAAACATAAAAAACATCAAAAACTGCACACACCAGGACATAAACAACAGTTGGAGGAGGTGTGGGAAGAACAGGATCACATGACGCAAGATTTCAACCCAAAAACTTTCTTCATGTTACATGATTTGGATAGTAATGGATTATGGGATCAGGATGAGGTGAAAGCCTTGTTTGTTAAGGAGTTAGATAAAATGTACGCGTCAGGCGCACCTGAGGATGACATGAGGGAACGTATTGAAGAAATGGAAAGGATGCGCGAAGCAGTATTCAAAGAAATCGATGCAAACCGCGATGGTTTCATTGATTTCACTGAATTTTTGCAACAAACGAAAAAGAACAACTTTGATAAAGATCCTGGCTGGAAGGGATTGGATGAACAGAAACCTTATACCGATCAAGAACTTGAAGAATATGTAAGGAGGCATCATGAGATGCAGCAACAGCAATACTATCAGAATCAACAGTATATGCAACACGGACGGCCACCACCAGGATATCATCCACAACAAGGCTACCCACCACAAGGACATCCTCAGCAAGGCTACCCACCGCAAGGGCATCCGCAACCAGGCTATCATCCTCAGCAAGGGCATCCCCAGCAAGGCTATCATCCACAGCAAGGACATCCACAACAAGGATACCAACAGGGTTACCCACCGCAACAAGCACACCATCCACAAGGTTACCCACAACAAGGACATGGAGCACCACAGGGCCACCCACAAGGAGTTCCATCACAGGGACATCCACAACAAGGACAATTTCATCCTGGACAAATCCCGCAGTCGCAGGTACATCCACAACAAATAAATCAAGTAAGTTAATTTAAATTATAATTAAATAAATCGCTAATAATATTTTGTTTGGTAAAATAGCAGATGCACGATTTCAAAATGAATGATTTGAACACAAATGAGGTCTATCAACATGATAGTCCTGTTGCCCAGCATCAAAAACAAAATTCCGGTCAGAATTATCCAAGTCATCCGCCGCAACAACAGCAGAACTCTGCACCGGTTGGCCACCAACAAAAACCGTCAAACCCCCCGGTAAACCCAGGTAATTCACAGCAACATCAACAGCAAGAAAGAAAAGATGCACCTCAACCACCACCACAGCAGTATCACCAAAGTAACGAGAAACCATCGGCGTCCAATGAGCATATACCGCAACAGAATCATATTCCTCAACAGGAACAAGTTGTAGATTCGTCGCCACATGTTAATTCTGTGCCTAAACAAGCTCCGGTTGTCGCAGCAGCGGCTGCTCAAGCCCCGGTTGTAAAACAAGTATAACGTTCAGGGAGATACCGAAAACCGCCGAAATATATAAATTAACGCATTTACAAACAAGAAAAAACAAAGGTTCCTTTCTTTCAATTTCAAAAATTTCATTTGTAAATTTATACAAATAGCATTTTGATTGTTGAGCAATGCATTTAAACACAAAACTACTAAAAATAAAAACATATAAGTCATTAATCACTAGTTTCAACATGACAATAACACATATGCAAATGATAACAAAGTAAGTTAGTAAAGGATCTAGATTTTGTTGTTAATTGGTTTCTATTTTAGTGTCAAATTAAAGAGTGCAATTTGTGGCCAATTCATCAAGAATCTATAATTGTGATTAGTCAGCCAACCAGCTGACTTGGAGACTAATGAACTAAATAAATATTACCTACATGTGAAGCTACTAATAATATCAACTAAATGTTAATGTGCGAGCATGTTTGATAAAGGTGCTTAAAGTCTTACCTGATCATTCATTTCCCTCAAACAGATCCTAAAGTTGGTATAAAGGTGGAAATCGAGTGCTCTATTTTAATACCACTTTTATTTTTATTGCAACGTCTGCGTGTATTTTTACTTGTTGACCACTTTACTTTTTTTGGTTGTTTTGTATTTTTTTACTTAGTATGCAAACGTACTTAATAATAAAACCAGTTTGGTAACTTGATAACTCATTGCTGATACACATATAGAGTCCAAAGTATCACCACTATAATTACACTACGCATTATTTCTGTTTGGTTTCCGAGTCAAATATCAAATCCACTGGTTGCCGGCGTCTTTTGTGTGTCATTACAGGTTAAATGTTTTACAAGAGTTTATTAAAAACGTTCAAAGCAAGCGAAACGTCGTCGTGTTTGGAACTACGTCCACTCCCTCCACCGTACCGTGATATCGTCGAATTGTTATCGCTTCTTCTGGTCGTGTTCTCGCATCTCTTCGAATGTTTACAATGTTTATTCAAACGAAATTACAATTACTCCGCTAAAATGCAACGCAATGTCAAACATTGACGCCTACTTACAAAAACTTACGACTTATGTACAACAAAAATAATAAAAAATATATAGTTAACTATCGTATTTTTTAATAAAATAAAATTAATAAAAGCGACACGCATTGCACGCTCAAATAAGTTATAGGTAGACGTTCGGCTGCATCGAACTCAGAAAGAAGTGTGTTATGGGTTTGCTATATAAGGTATGTTTTTATTATTTATGTTTGTAGTTTTAGTTTAAGAGTTAATTCAGTAATACCAGAAACCTCGGCTCACTCTCAGTGGTTGTGTGCTACCAAAGACTAAGAATAAAACGTTAAGACTTAATGACTCAATTAGTGTTCCTCTGATTTCCATGTTTTTTGCTTAACTCTCATTTCTTTTGCTTAAATATATATATAATGTAAATCCGCCACAGATAAAATTAAAAACGAATCGCTAAAGAGATATATGAATTATAAAGAGACAGGCCAACACAAAACAAATCGTGGGGGAGGCACCTTTCATAAAATGCAGTTTACAATTGTTTTACAGTTTTCCTTTTTAGCGTGTTACCCGCGCCACGGTGTGAATATTGCATTTCCATTGTCAGCATTTTCGGCATCGTATAATATTAGCGATTAAATTGAAAATTTAGCATTCGTTTTAGATGGACGTACACGCATATCATCATTGTTACTTATTTTTTCATTTCAACACTTTCATTACAAATATCTGACACATGCTTTTACCGCTCTTGCGCCCCCCAAGCCGATCGCAACGTACGCAGCGCAGTCGAAAAACATTACGAAAAAGGCAGTTAGCGTTTGGAATCGATTAGAAACTGAAGAAAATATGTGAACAGATCACCTCCTACATCTAAGAGTACGACTTGATAAGGCTTTCGTTGCTAAAACGAGGAAACTGATTTCTTTAGCACGTTAACTGCGTGTCGCTGGGCACATTGCGACCGTGGCGCAGCAAGGCGTTCTAATTGATTCTGTTTATTTTATATTTATAACAATATCTTCGCGGCGGCCGTTGTTGCCGAACAGCCGAACGCGAAAATGCACAACATAAGTAATAGATTAAGTCAATATTTAAATATTTATATTAATTACAGTGAGTGTCATTTTCATCTTTCGGTTTCCTTTTCAGCATATTAATGTGTGTGTTGTGTGTAAATGGGTTCTGTGTGTCTTCGCTGGTCTCTGGTTGTATTCCGAAGACACTCATTGCGTTCTACTGCACGCCGTGTTGTCGTTTTGTAATTTTGTTTCACGAAGATTTTTATGTTACAATCGATAAATGTACAGATTAAATGTTTCTGCGTGTGTTTGTAATTTTTTTTATAAGATTTTCCCGACCGCTTTGCTAGTTCCTTGCATATACTAGTTTTTTCTTCTTCTCTGATGTTTGTTGTTGTTGGTTTTGTATAATTTATATTTATATTGTATTTATATAGTAGAGATTTGTTGTCTGCATGTGTTTCGTGTGTTCGCTTAAAAGTGAAAAGGTTCAGAGCACATACTTGCCGAGTATGATGCCGACGATGACTACTGCTAAGCTGGTGGCGAGGCGCTTGAGCATAAGCGACTGCTGCATCTGCACGGCGGGCTGGTACTTGGTGGGCGCGGCGCCGACCGCGATACCGCCACCGGAACGCGATTGTACATCTACCTTCATTTGCAGCATCTGTTCTTTCAGTCGCAGATTCTCCGCGCGAAGGCTGCTGATTTCTTCTGACAATTGCTGAATCTGCAAATTACAATTCACACAATTTAAACAGACATTTAAAAATATATATAATATCAACTATATACTTCTGTGGTGGCGGTCCTCAGATCACCCTCTAGCACACTGGAATTGGCGTTGGGATGTAACGGAGCGGCGTTGATCACTGACACTTTCGGGCTAACCTTCACTACCTCTTCGCCGGCTTCCATCTGATCGGGCGGCATCTCAAAGACGCACTTTAGCTTCGAATCCATCAACTGCTCCGGATTGATCTCCTTCCATATCTGCTCGATGTTCACCTCGCCATCGGGCGCAAACAGTGACTGCACCATGAACTTGTGCTTGTTCTTTTCGCTCGGATCAAACGTGAACGGTTGTAGGCAGACTACAAACAGAGATTGAAAAAATCAATAACAAATCATGTGTGACACGAAGGAAAACAATCAAATCACTTACTTGCTAATTTAATCGTGTCGTTTGGATCCAACAGTCCAGAGTTTGGCCGCACGCAGTATTTCTTCGGTGCTGTTGTCTTTATTTTGAATATTACTTTTTTGTCTGATGGATTCGTCAGTGTCATGTAAGAAGTCACCGGCACTTTGAACGGCCCTACAACAGCCACAACAACAAACAATAACAAACCAATAACACCACATTTCGCAAAAGTGCGACATCGATAAAAATATGTATTTCATCATTAAACCAACAATGACATCATAAACAGATGACCATTTTAAAAGAATAAGGTTTTTAAACTGCAATAACTTATTTATCAGGTGATAACTGGCTCAATCTTATCATAGAATCTAATAAAATCTTCAATTTACAAATGACAAGGTTGTAAATTTCAACGTAAGATAGTGTTTATTAATACAGCTTAGATAAAACTTTGCCAAATATCAAAAATTGTCCTAAATTAGCGTTTATGCCTAGCATATGAAACACACTAGAATTATTGATTGCATTATTGATGATATAACTGGAAATAATGAGCTGTAATGACACAGCAGGTTTCCATTTTAATCACCCGGCGCAGCAGCACCTGATTCTCCCCATATGCAGGATGATGATCCGGCGAGCAGACAGTCGCGGATTACTTAACGCAGGCGACGTCGTGTAATCCGCAAACCGACCGAAATCGTGCTAATAATATTCACACGCACGCGGCTGAGGTCGAGGAAAATACATAAACGAAAATACGCGGCGCGCTCCTGGTCGCCGCACTCCTCGCCTGGGTCAATCAATTTTTAAGGTTATGCGTACGCCTGAAATAGAAACGGCATCCAGGCGCCGCGGCCAGCCTACGGCGGCGATGAGCTCGAGTTAGACAACAAGGGGAGGCTTTCCTGCTTCCGGTCGCAGACTGACAGACTTACCCTGAAATTTGAGTTCATATTGGGGTTCGATCCGCAGGACCTGCTCCGGCTTTGACATTTTCCTGGCTGGCTGTCGTCTGATTCAGTCCACTTTGTATGTGCTTTGCAGCTGACGATCACTTTCGCGAATACACTAGGGGGCCGATAGGGAAAGAAAATCTTGCACGCGCCGCGCTACCCTTCTTTAATCGCGGGGGCGCTGTGTGTGTGTGTGTGTAAAGTGTATGATCGGCACCGGCGATGTGATGGGTCGCACTCGCGTGTACGCGCTCCGTCCGACGTGTCTCCGCTGTGGTGGCGTAACCCCCCGACGATGGCGTTCACTTCGCGTCGTCTGCGACCGGTGTACGCAAACTCAGCGCGCTGGGCCAGACAGACAGCAAGATGGCCGATTCGTTCGTGGCGGTTGCGGGACTCGTTGTGTGCCGTGGTGTGTGCGCTCTCGGGAAAACGCAGCACGCAGCGCGCACGACTAGTGACAAATGCACACGTTCGGGCGCGCGCCGCAAGCAGCACCTGTCAATACTGCGCCGCGAATGGTCAGCGTTGGCAGCGGCTGGCGGAAAAGCGGACTCCTTGGGCATAGATGTCGATGTTCACACTGCGAGCGCCGACTCGGGTGGGTCGCTGTGTTGTATCGGGAAAGCACACGGAAATTTAGCAGGCGCAGTTTTCTCACTGGGACGCCTGGGACAAGCGCCTAGAATTTTGTTGTAGTTTGAAGTTTCGAAACGGTTTCACATTATAACCGGTTGACGCGGTGTCACCTAGAGGGCTCTAGCAGTGCCACACTTTGAAATTTGCAGTACATCACTCACTGCCTAAGAAAATATAAATTTAACTTCATTTAACGCATGTAAGCACGCACTAATGCTTAAAATAAACAAATAAGTGCGTAATAGTAACATTAGAAGTTAATAATTTAATAAGAAATTATGCCGAGCTTATTAGAAAGAGTAAATATGAACTTTAATAAGTACTAAATGAGTATCACTTCAGAGCTGCATTTAATCGATTGCATGGTAGCATAACTTCCAATTTTGCATTATGAGTTTCAGGTAATTAATTCTGCGAGTTTCATTAGCGAAATCAACTTTGCGAAATTAAAATTAAATTGCCAGCAGGCGTACAAAAATATTGCTCTGCTTGGATTTGCATAAAAAAGTGCTGAAAATAGTTAATCGTAGTTTAATATTGTTTCCAATTTTAAATTTAATTATAGGAATGTCATAAAATATTAATAACTGCAAAATTACGCGTTTTGTGCGTCACGGAGTGCAAAAAACGACAAAAAGTACATAAACAGTATAAATAACAACTGTGTGACTCAAACCAGTGACCAAGGACGAGATAGAGAGAAGTGGAGAACCTAAAACTCTACGACTGGACGATTGGACGACTCAGACACGACTGAGCACTGTGGTCGCTGCGCGCTGCCCTTTTATACCTGCGGACAACCGGTGAAAAGTGGTGGGGAGAAGGGTAGAGGTAGGGAGGTTTATATGGTACGTAGCGCGGGAGCTTGCGGTGCGGGTACCTGCGAAAAGTGGTGGGGGGAGTTAAGTCATCACGTGCACGACCCGCATGCGGTCAGTCATGTAAAGGCAGGCGTCGTTGACGGATGTGCCCTCAATCGCTGGTCTTAGCAGATGAGGCTAGAATAATAAGAAAAACAAACATTTATTTCGTAATAAAAAAAAAGTAAACAACTTGCAACTTATCGCTGGCATTGCAATATTTTCCAACTTACAGCCCCTAAAACACCAGTACCAGCTCTCAACTTCCAAACTTAAATCATAAAACTTGCGCCATTTTCGTATACGACTATTTTTAGCTGTGCTTGATTAAATTTTCCGCAATTAAAGGCTTTAAAAATAATTAATATTGCGGTCGGCTAATAGCAGTTAAATTTTTAACCTAGCTTGGATAATCTGCACATATAATAACAATACATACTAAACCGTTTTAATTAAATTTATTGATTTTCTGGCGTTACGCCCTAAACGAGCGGAAGGAACCGTAAAAAGTGATTTTTATCGTTGCACCATAAGCGCCGCCAAATCACCCGACGACCCAATATTCCAACCTTTTTATTGTTTACCAGTTTTATCCTTTTTAGGACTTTTTCTTCGACAGCCGCCGGACCCTCTTTCGATTTACACACAACTTTGCGGATCCGCGAACTTCCGTTCATTGTTTACCTTTTGTTTCGACAATAATATTCCAAACAAATTACATTACGCCGATGTGGGCAACTTTTGTGAACCGGAAAGCTTATAAGAAAATTCGGCAAATCCTTTGGAAATTTCATTTACATTCGCATTCTGTTTAGTCTGCTTGGGCCTTCTTCGCAGTAATTTGTCTAGTTTGTTCGTGTGCGGGCCGCATTAACGCCGATAGAAAGCAGGCGCTTTTTCTTAGTTTATTCTGCGCCAGGTTGGCGAAAGTCGGCGTTTTCAAGGGGTTTTTACCGTTCGTTTGCATTCGTTTCGCTCAAATCGGCTGAGCTTTTCGTACAGATGGAAGAGGTGGAAATAGCAGGATAGATGTCGGGGTTTCATCCGGATAGTGCCCGGATACCTCTATGATTCGACCTGAGCCTTGAGAATAGTGCCCTGGTGGCCAAAATCTCCTGCACTTCAATTCCAAGGGCTTAAACTTTTTTTTCGCAGAATTTTTCACAAAAAAACAGATTTTTTGCAATTTTTTTTCGCTAAAGTATCAATGGATCTAAATTTAGCTAACAATATGGACAACATGACATTCAATGTAATTTTCCTTAAGTCCGGGGTATAATGATGGCCTTTTGGGATAGAAACCCCGGGCTCCATCGACACCATCGACACTTCTCTGCGGATGTCGGGCCGCGGATGAGCCGCAGTGCAATGCGATTGCGGATGGCGGCGAGCGGGGGCAGGCAACTGCCGCGATCCGCAGTGTGGCGACGCGTGCGCGCTCCTACCGTTTTGCCGCCACCGCTACCACCGCCGCCGCCGCCGCTGGCTCGCGTTCGGTGCGCCGGCGAATTCTCCGGCGAAACGCTGCTCCGCGCTTGCAGTGCATCGTACGAGCGCGCCGACACGGTCCAACCTGTTGGACTGCGAGCGTACCCGCATCCAACATCGTCGTCGCCGTCGCCGCCGTCGACGTCCTCCGATCGTGTGGTCGCCGTCGTCGTCGCCGTCGCCGTCGTCGGGATGGCACTTTTCCGCTGCGAGCGTTGCGCCTCGCGTTCACGTCGCGCTCATTTTTGACACGCAACTATTTCAACACACCATCAGTTTCTTTTGCCGCCGAAGCTAGAGGAATAAGTTAAACATCCGCGTGTGTAGTGCTTTTTCGTAGAATTATCACACACGGAACTAAACTAAAGAAAAAAAGAGGAAAAAAAGGACAAGAATCGCGTCATTTTGCTCAAAACTGCTGTTAGTTAAACTAAAACTAGTTAAACTTAAATGAAACAATTAAAGCAAGCGCTGAAAGCAACCATGAATTAATAATTCGAACGTAAAATCTTCCATTTTTTACTTAAACTTGATAAAAGAAATTGCTTTGCATCACACATTAATCGGTATTATAAACGCGAGATAAACTAAACGTAAGCGAGCGACGAAACAATAATATTATAACTAATAACTAGATAGTAATTAAACAATTTACGCGTAGAAATTTCTGGCGACAGATTCGAGCTTAAACGTAAATCATAAAAAAGCCGTCGTAGGAAAAATTATTCGCTATTGTCTCCAATTACAAGCATAATTCGATATTAAATTAATCTACCCTCCCAAGGATAAAGACGCAAAACTTACCTAAACCTTAAAAAAAATCAATCCAAATAATAATCTTCGACATTTTTGATTAAATTTAAGGCGGATCGAGGCAAGGCTTTAGCGCGACGCGTTCCATTTTGAATTTTACATTTTTTACCTCTTGATAAGTACCTAATAAACAGCGTAACAAATTAATAAACTCGTAATCGTAATCATATCATAATCGTTTCCCCGAAGCAAAAGAAAAACAAATAAAAAGCAAACACTAAACGCAATACAAGCACGGGGCGGGCGAAAACTTTTCCCGAACGGAATTGAATGCAAAAGTTTTCCACCTGTTCGGCTGTTTACACAAAAACGGCCACAAGTTGCCAACTCGAACGGAAAGCGATTGAAGAAACGAGCGAGCGAAAAAACTCCATTCCAACATAACCTATAACCTATATTTATATTGATATAAGCAAACACCCGGTCCATTTAAAAGTAGTGCTTGATTATCTAAGTATTAAAGTTACCAGTAACCATAAGCGATGTCGATTGTGATGGGTGTGCATTGGAGTGATCAGAATGATGGGCTTAAGCGTGTTTAAACAACGCCAGTGCGCGCCGTGATTTCGCTAACCGATTGATTTCGAGATGTGGGAAGGACTTAGTTGGCCTTAAGTGGGCCTGTGCCTGAATTTCGGTTCGGTTCCGTTTTTGATACCATAGTAAGGTCCCGGGTGCCCACCCGGTAATGCGCTGCAGTCATGACGATGTGGCAAGGTGGGATGGCGAGCCATGGGGGGAAGAACAACGCCTGGATGAAGCTGATGGGCATCGTCCAGAAGGGGCCAAGGCATCACGATGCCATGCCCACTACCGACAAGACCCTCAGCCAGTAAGTATACAACCAAATTTACACTCAATGCAAAATCTAACCTGATATTAGGTATTTGACATTTTGTACCCAAAAGGGTAAGGATGTTAAATATTTAGTTGGCCCAAGGTGATTAACATGCTTATCTCTATTTCCCTGATGGGATAAATACCTTAAGTCCTGCACTTTATAGACTGCGTGCTTAGCAAAGATTAACAGTGATGGAATGCAGTGCTGGAGGCCTAGCTCTATTTCCAGAGCCTTCAGAGTGCGTTATCTCGAAACAAAAGACAGCGAGGACAATAACTGAGAGTGCCCGGCGCTCAAGACAAAGGATAACAGACTCTAAGCTATATCTTGTTGAAAGTGAAACTTAAAGTATAAGAAATCATCTAAAATAACAATTTTTAAAGAAATTCAGTTTCACAACTTTCTAAAATCTTTCTAAAATTTGAACTGCGTCAGTGGCATTGTCTTAAGCCGTCGGATGTTGTCCGGACGCGTCGATGCTAATGCGGCACGAGGGAGTCGTGAAAAAGGAGGAGAACCAGCTAGGTGTATTCCTGTATCGCGGCGTATCGCATTCCGGGCGGGCGGCCATGGGGGGATTTATCCGCAATGCGTGAAAGTCAAAAACGATGACTGCACAACCGACATTATATTAGACTCGGTGTTCGCGAGCTGCCGCCGCCTCCCACCGCGCGAAGAAAGGTGAAGCAGCGCGACGCCCCGCCGGAAAAAAGACAGATAAATGGCGAGGAAAGCACGCAATGGTACCGATATGCACCGTACCGGAAACCAACTAGACACACAAAACATTATAAAACAAAATCTGAAATATATTACGACAAGTTATGAGAATATTACTTGTAAACGCATAGCGCATGAAAATTTTAATGAATAATGACTGTCAAAATGGTTGACATGTCAAATTCATAACCTAAAAACCTAGAAATCCACTTTTTTCCGCGACCATTCTTTTTCTTCCGTGATAACCTTTAATATATCATGTGTCTTATGTCGACTCAACTTTTACTTGGATTGTACCCAGAAAAAACGACTGGAATAGTTCATATCACTCCATGAAAACGATGAGGAAACTATGAGCGTAACTAAACTGAAACTAACGCAAAGAATGTTCCGCACCCCGTGCGCCCTGTGCCAATGCGTTATTATCCGCACGGTGTGAAAAAGTAGCGCTTATAAATCACACGGCATACCCATCGCGTTCCGCGGCGACGGAGGCGGCAACGGTGCCATTGATATATCGCCGCGTCTGGATAAATTTCGATTGCGGCACATTTTTAGCTTCAGCGCATGCAAAACTTGCCCGCCGGCGACTATAATTGATGATATTAAACACGTCGGCTCGTTAAAACACCAGTGATTGATCTTTGAGGATTTTCTATACAAATTGTCCTCTAAGCTGGACAAGTGTAATTGTAATTTTTTTTTCGATTGAAAATAAACGTTTCAATTTCATTGTGGGGAAATTTTCGTATTTTGCGGATTGAATCAGCGGCTAATTGCTACCCCCAAACCAGAATTAGTCCGAACAATGAATTAGGTTTCAATTCGTTTCAATTCACGCCGCGATTTCCCAAATCGCCGTTGTGGCTATGCGAACAGGGCTTAAAACTCCAATTTCCACAACGCCAACACAACCGCACGATCGACCAGAGTAGGTAGGAACTTTTTGCTCAATACACCCAGCGCGTGTTGAGAGTTGAGCCATTTTCCACTCCTCTTAAGCCATATACTTGGCTTCTCGTCGAGGCGGTGTGTTAATTTCGAGTTTCGCAACAATCGCAAGGATATGTAGGCGAGGCGGACAAGACAATCCTCCTATATTCGGTTAAATGTCTTTCGTAATTGATTACGTCCGAAACACCCACGGTGTATTCAATCTCGGAGCAATCCAATGTTGGAGGTGCACGGCTTCCACGGGTGACAGAGAGTAATTTGAAAGCAATAATCACTATCCTCTCAATGCTCAGGTCACGATATCTCAAGGGAATTCATCGAATTGACAATATTGTGTTTATATTGTACGTAGTTCTTTAACTTGTAAGATAAAACATGAAATATGAATTAAGAACGAGCAAGACGATATAAAATTTATGAAGCGTACGTATTTTTTATGTACTCGTCTTTTACGAGGGTTTATTTTTATTCCACACACCCAAACGCTTGAAATGGCAATAACTTTTTGCATCACTTCTTTATATATTTTTTCTTCGTGATATTATCCAACGACTTTGTGGAAGAAGAAGAATCCATCATTCACATCCGCCAAGTATTAACTTTTTGTTTATATTTCCAACACGAAATAAATACAAAAGTTTACGAGTAAATATTTATATACTCAAAATAAAACAAGCCATTAACACGTTATCTAATTAATAATTTAATATAGGTTATAAATGCTTTTTGAGGTTAGGTATTATAAGCTTTTTCTGAGCAATTTATACGCGCAGACAGGTGGAAAGCAAAAATGATGAATTTCCTCTTTGAGCTACACTAAAGGTAAAGCCGGCAGCGGAGTTCCCGCATTAAGTCGATATAACAACAACGAATTGGGGGCGGCATACTATGGCTAGCCTGGCATATTGAATTCGGGCGTCTTAGACCACGCGCACAAAGCGCCGGCAACGCGCGGCCCCTTTGTGCTGTTCGCGACGCAGTGAAAAATGAAAAACGGGAACGGCACGCGAAGAATTCGAAAAGTAAATAAAATAAGATGAGGCGTATATATAAACTAAGTAAATATACACAAACGATAAGGAAATATTTTCATAAACAAGCAAACAAAAAACTTTGAAAGATAAATTTTTGCGAAAATTAATTCAGTATAATATCATCCCATTAAAGCAGTGATACCTTATCAGTGGACTTTATTGCATTAAACATTAAATTCGTAATTGTATGAAAATTTACGAGTTAAAAGTTTCGCACTCGGACGAAAATAGCCGCGCACCTAAAGTAATAAACTCGCGAATACGCAAAAACAGCGTACCTAAACAAATAATATGAATAAACACAAACAAACCAACAAAAATAAAATACAGTGCGTAAAGCACGAATATATACGCATGCGGAATGAACACGGAAAGCACAAAATGAAAACATTCTTCTTAAACTTCGCATAAAATAACAAATGCGAGCGAAAGAAGAAGAAAAAATCACATACAGAAACACTAAAAAGATTCACACAACAAGGAAGGTAGGAATGTAATGTTCACTAAAACACACTCGACTTTGAGTTTTCTCAACTTTTTTGATTTAACTTTGCATTTAAGTTAAGTTAAACTTCGCCACTGTGTTGTGGTTAGTACAACGTCTTTCTCTCTTTTTTTATATGTAAAATTTCCAACTTGTTTCCTTTTGTTAACGCTGCAACACACAGCGCACAACTTTAAAGCAGTCACAAATAAAACTTCTGAATATATTTGTCTTCTTGTTCGCTTGTGGCGACATCTGGTTGCGCGTAGACATGCTACACATGTAGATATATCGTCAGCCATTTTGTGATCGTTTATATCAATCACATATTCCAGATGAATTCATCTGCTACAACGATTAATCAATCTTTACACAATGCGTTTTTTCTCGTGTTTTTTTTCTGTTTGCTTAGATTTGGGTTATTTTTTCAATTGTTTACGAACATGCGGATGAATACAGGATGTAGATGTCACTGGTAATTTATGTTGGCATGTTGCACACGTACGTAGACCAGTGTTGTAAAACCGAAGTTAATCCGAATCGTTCCGCTTCATTTCGCCTCGTAATTTGAAGGTACACACGCTCGAAAGGAGTTGAACTATCACCGGACCCAAGAAAGTAGTAGTCGCAATGTGTAAACAAGAGATGGCGGACGAGTACGAGGACCTTCGCGTGGGAGAAAGGCTCCGAAAGTAAGTGGTTCGAAAAACTAGCGTCTTTTTTGCGGCCTTCATGTATTTTTTTTGGAACGTCCACGACGTCTATGCGCGTAACGTGTAACGTGGCAGTTGATTACACTTTTTTCCCGTATCGTCATGTTTTATGTCTGCGTAAAAGCGACTTGGACTTGGACCTCGAATGCCACACCGCGAAAAAGTGTCGGACGGAGATAAAGCAGGGCGAAAAGAGGGACGCGTATAAAAGTGGATCACGGCCCCGGAAACCGGGCGGTACGTCCGGAAAAGACATTCCAATTTAGTTGAAATAATCCTTTTAAGATGAGGTGGTGCAGGCGAAGAAATCGAAACGCTTCTCGTTTTATTCATTCCTCATCGACATTTACAGCACAGCGAGAGATAATAAACGACGCGCTTATAAAATGAGGTTATGTCTCGATTCATAACCTAAATGTTACCTAACTTTAGGAATATTTATGAGGATCATATTTAAGTGTCAGCATTAGGTCTTAATTTCAATTTTCTGTAATAAACGTTTCGGACGATTGGAACGAGCGTAGTAATTAACCCTCGACGGACGTTATTTCCCTTCATTTCCGGGTTCTGCTTTCAATCACTTTCGTATTTCTTATTGTCCGCATGTTATTGCCTATTGTGCGCCATGATGGCATGTTAAGTTGGCAATAATTTCCTCGGAGTTATTGCCAACTTAAAAAAACAACAAATCGTAAAATATGAATTGAATAACTCGAGTTGCAAGTTTGGCCAGCGATCCAATTTGAATTTATCATGAAATCAGTGGGTTTGTTCGACTCAAATCGAAGTGGTTGGTGAAGTTGTTTACTTTCTTGCCGAGGGACGGGCGACTTATTTTTCGTTCACGACATTATATTCAAATATAAGCAAATTATTCACGAGACTCGAATTGGACTCACGAGACTCACGAATCGTGCAATTTGCATTCTGTTTGTTGGCGTTCGGTCGTGCGCAAATGAATTTTGCGCTGTTATAATAAAGCAATCAACGGAGATAGACGCTTTTCATCATGAGGTGGGATTTTTACGCGCTGTGGAAAAAAGATAATTCGATTAAAAGGCGCGCGCGCTCGTTGACGGTGTGAAAACACGGCAGGAACCGCGCTCCAAATTGGATGCGACGTTTATTATGTTATGAACATTAAATGCTTCTGTTGTACGCCTGGTAAAAGATAGACGAGTGCGGGGGATCATCGAGCGCACGTGTGGAAAGTATTGTACAAACACATTTTGTGCTTCCGCAAAGAGATGAATATTGAGTTGCTTGTGAACTCATCAGGAATAAAATTTAAAAATTCTTAAAAAGAAATTAATTTTATAAAAACAAAATTTAAGCTTTCATAAAAGCTTTTTAAGTAATTTGAAACAAAATAAATGTTTTCTAAAAATTAAATTCGAAAATTGTTTGTTTGCAGGTAGGCGATTTATACATGAAAGTTAGAAACATGCAAATACAAACGAAATTCGGTTACTCACGCCGTGAACGCACGTACTCACGTGTCGCTCACATTATTTTCGTTATTATTATAATTGGTCAGTATATGAATAATTTCCACCCGCGCGGCGGTGGCACGGCATGCGTCCAACTTGGCGGCGTTATTATTGGTTTTGCGTGGCATGTTCTTGCTCCCGTTTCCCGATTTCCAGCGCACTCGGCGCGCAACTATTCGTACTTACATGCGACCGCAGCGAACGGACCGAATGTATAAACAAACTGAAAACGAACCGTTCCGTGCGCGCTTTACAAAAGCGTCGTAATCATTTGTTTCGCCTACATTTACGATTCGAACGCAACTCTTTACGCCAGTGTTCGCTTCCACACACCACCAACACTCGTAAATTAGTCGCAACGAGATAGTCTTCGAATGAGGTTATGTTTGATCCACTGAGCTATAATTTAAAGCCGCTGTGTGTGTGTGTTGGCGCGTATAAGAATGTGTGTTTTAAATCACTCACTCGGTGAATGTGAATGTGTTGTTCAATAAAAGGGCAACAACAAAGTTAGAAAGCGTGGAAAAGTAAAAAGCGCACGCGATGTGTTTTCTCTCCTACACGGAACAAAACAAAACTCGGTTAACCTTTTGGTATGCAACCAAATAAACAAAACAAAAAAAATCTGATGTAATAAATATTTGAAATTTCGCTTGAATTTACTTTCGATTGATGTCAAGTCGCTCAATCATTCTCATTTTGTATTATGCTAAACGTCGCAGTGCACGAAAACGTATTTCCAACGTTGTTAAAATTGTAAACATGTCCTGGAGGAAATTATGATGTAATAAGCGAGCGTATCGAAACGACTGGCGCATTAATCTAATTTGATAATCTCTTTAGGCATTTGCACGACGACAACGAAATTATTTGCCAACTTGTGGCAATGGCGCAGACGCTCGCTGCAAATTAAATCTGCATAGAATTACAGAAGAAATGTAATGTGCTGAAATGTGACACTCGCACAACGGACGTGCACAATGCGGATACACATTATGAAATTACCCATTAACACTCGTTACACTCAGCGTAAGTAAACTAAAGCGCAAAGTGTATGCACAAGAAAATTTCCAATGGCAAAGACAACAAACACGCTCGAAAGGTGTTATGTTGGTTGCTTATGTTTACTTGCACTATGTCACGATCGTGACGAACTTTACTTTCACACGTCGAAATGACAAATAACCTAAAAACTAACAAAATAATGAATTTACATAACGTTAATTCTATACAATACAATATTTAAATAATTTGTATTCACTTGTTTTCAGTAAGTTTAATTAAGTTAAAATTTGATCCACCCGTGACGTTTTGCGTAGATTGTCCGTGCTTAATCCAACGGTCGGCGGCGTACCGTGGATTAATGCATCCCCGGTTGCAAACAATTTGACATGCGGAATGTGACCGCTTCAGGACGACGCGGGCGCGCGTTATACATGCGAGGGATTTATTTTGACGAACCGACCACGGCGAGCGTCGACGATTTGCCACGCTCGTCGCGTTATCCTGGCGAAGACGAAATGGAATTGAAATAGTGGCGACGCCGTCCACATTCCAAGCTCCTGAGCAAATGTATGTAATGCATTTATGGCGGATTTGCGGCTGATATAAATTCGTTTACCACCGCCGCCACGTAATTCACTCGCAAATATTCAAAATGTCAAAATTTATTTGCTTCAATTACACCGGGTAAACTTTTTTAATTAATAGCAACATACTGTATGTTTACGTGTATGAATATGAAGCGAAAATCCCAACTGTGGGTAACGCAAAGCGATTCGTCACGCTATTCGTACACAAAGCGTACAATCGTATACAAAATCCGAATTTCTAATTTCCCAGCGAATATTAATCTTGTCGACTGATGGATTTGCCTCCAAACCACCACAACTCGCAACTCGGAAGGTTTTCTTCGACTCTGGACGACCGAATTTCGAATAGCATTTGTATTACTTAATTCATTTCAATTTTGAAAGCGGTATAATCAAAACTCGGATTAAATTCTTCATAACCTCAAATTACTTTGTCGATACTTTCTATAAAATCGCATAAATTCGTTCGAAGAGGGCGCTCACGTGCACCTTATCAGATTGTGCACATTTTACGCTCCACATTTACGAGCACGCTGAGGTAAATCGGGAATAGAATTTGGTCAACGTTTACGTGCGAACGAAAGAAATACACATATATTTACAGCAGGGACATCAATAAATATATATATCGACATGCGTCCCACTTAAATTTGCGCCGCGTGATTTATTTTCGGGTTTCGATTGAGGGTTTAAATATAGTGACGGCGAACTTTAATTTACCTCATCTACTTAACCTTTAATTGCCATTAGTGCTATCTATAGCACTGGATATCTTTACCGCCAACAAAAAAATGCACTTAACCTAAATCTATCTTTAATTACCAGTAGTGTGGTGTATATATAGATGTCGCTACTTCCATTTTCATAACCTTGCCTTAATCAATTCCGGAATGTCTGAATGTTTGATGTTTTTGGTGTTCTACGCATTTCCATACGTTAATTGCAATATCACCAGAGGTAATATTACACGGCGCCTGGGAAATGTTGGAAAATGTCGCGCAATCTCAACTTCTATTCCGCTTCACGCACGAAACGCGAAAAGTAAATAGATAATATGCCTGAGACCCGCGCCAGCGGGACTGCGGGGATTTCTTGCTTTTCGACGCGTTTTCCCCGCGCGCGCGCGCTGCAGTAAACCCACCGAAATTTGCTATGTGTGTGGGAAAATAGTAAGACTAATATTTGTTCGCGACTGCACGTAACTCGATAAACGCAAAGCAAATAAAGTTATTTTAATTAAAACCACAAACGTGGGCTACTCTATAATTGTTAATTGTTTAAGTAAACTAGTTGAAATTCAAAATATGTGTTCAACTTGTGTTCATAATCATGCATGCAAGAGACAACTCTTCAAACGTGCAAAATTGAGAAAGCGCAGCGGTATAATTATCTAAAATCATACAATGTGCATTATCATCGCTGGGCTGGCGGCCGAATTGTGAAATTAATTAATTATAGTTACAATAACTAATTAATTCTACAAAAGAAAATTAAATTCAGTTTAAATTACATGCTGGGAATAATATGGAGTTGCTCATTGCGCGATTCACGAAAAGCGTTTTTATTGTCGTTGGGAAATAAAGAGAAAAATGTAACGTTTCGTAATTGTACCCACCTTTGTGTATGATACGCTCCAAGCTGCTTCCATAATCAAAGGCAAAACCATTCTTCCATTCTACAATTCTTTCAATTATGCAGAGCCTCTTTGAAATTTACATTCTCGAAATTCTCCGTTGGAAAAATGTCGTGGACAAACCGCAGAACATTATTTTTGCTCGCACTCACTATAAAATCCTGCAAAAAATAAACAATGATGTAAAAACACGCATTGAATAATATTAACTAAAAGTATTTCCGGATGAAAATAGAATAAAGGTAGGAAGTGATGTATTCTTCGAGAAATCAATTTTAACAAAGTTTTAAATTGAAGCCGATTGGGCCGATGTGCTGCGATGCGATGGAAAGTTAGTAAACTTTACGCGTTGAGAATTTTTGCGCAAAACTTTATCTTACGTGCTTACTCTTTGCGTATTTTAGAAGTAAATTAAGTTTCCTAGTACAAGGAATTTTACAACACTTGAAAAATGCGAGGAATTTGTTTAAAAATACAAAGTGCTCAAAAACTAGGTTATGTAATTTTACAGCAAAGAAATTAAATGAATATTAAAGTGCTTCAATGTCACCTGATGTAATATTATTATAATATGCGGAGCTAATTGAGTTGTACAGGATTAAATTTTGATGTTCTCAGGTGTTTGAACTGAGTTTCGACATACTTCGCGCTTGCAGCCACTGGAAATTCGTATATTATGTACGTGACGCGCATGTTTTAATCATAACAAACGTGAGTAAACATCTTAGAAATGTGAGAGCCGGTGAGCCATCTTGGAACAAGAGCAAATTTACAGCAACATCAGACATTGTTGTGTCGAGACTCTGTTGGACCACAGAGCGGCGGCCATATTGTTCGTACCAAGTCCGTATTGTGTATATGCCGCATTGCGCTCATTAATTATTCCACGGATCCCTACAGTAGCGCAGCAACTGTGAGGAACTGCGGTGAAACTCCATTTCGAGGATTCGTTGAGATGTTTCTGAGCGCTGCTGACTGGTAAATTGTGAATCCAAAGTCCAGTTATCAACATTCCAGCATATAATATCTCTGCCTAGGCAGTAAAATTTCATTCTTGGAGTGAAAAATAGCGGCAAACATGAAATTGAATTCAAAGAAAAGTTTTAAGCACGTTGAAATTTATTACTTTCAAATTGTACGTTCCAATGTTGAACCTGTCTGGAGTATTTCATCCTTTCATCGAAGTTTGCCCGCTTTTTGGGGCTCTCATCCCCGTGTTACTCATCCGTTTCTAGTCGCACACGCGGCGCGTTTGCGGCGGATAATAATGTGTTGTTCTGCGCGGAACTTTGCGTTTCTTAGCGTTTTCGGGCGGCAATTTTGGCCGCATTAAATGTGTGTACAATGGAAGTTTGCGTTTTAGGCTTTGCGGTGGAAAGTTTTCCAGTTGCGGGCGGCTTGGTACCGCAAGCAGCTTTTTCCTACTCAATGCCAATGTGGAAGTGGAAGCGCACCGGGGAAAACTCATAGTTTCGTATGGGCGCGGTACGAATTGCAGATTTATGGCCGATCGTGGCCATTAAACGCCCTTTGGCAAACCAGTAGGATATCAAACATTCCCGGTTTCAATTATCTATTGGAACAGAATCACTGGGATTGAATTCCGGCTTTTTAATAAAATAAATAAATTGAATTATTTTGATTTTAAATTCAAAAATACAAAAAAAAAAAACTAAAACTAAAAAAATCCAATGTAAAACTTTAAATACTGAACACTTTCAGTAAATTTTCAGTGAATCAAAGAAGGGCGTGCAATCTCCGGGCTTTCCGCCCCATAGGATTCTAATTAATAGTCCGGACGTCGATTAATTGCATCGACTTTCCGGCTTACTCACTGCTTGTGCTCGCGCCGCACGCAAATTCACCGAATGCAAATTTGCAAAAACGCATGTGTGCAAAGTGCAAACTCGTTCCGGAAGTGGCACTTTTCTAATGGCCATTATGAGCCTGTCTGGCGACTAAGGGCGTGAAGCATAAAAGAACCACCACGGACAGATGTGCTGTGGATGATAAACTTGCTTTACGGATTATTCGCATCAGTAAGGTGGTGTGCGGTTGTTTGATATATCGAATCAAGGCCGGCGCATATTTCATCGGTGTCCATCGCTTCATCTTCATATCATCCGCAAAACGAGAAGATTTATTCGGAGCGTGGGCGAAGACGTGATGAGATGCGGGCGGGGTGACATTGATGAAACGTAACCACAACGAATATTAATTTTATTATTCTAATAGAAATGTTGGTTAAAAATATTTTTCGAGGTTATATACAAATGACATGAGGTTATTGTGACATAACCTCAATTTACAGTGTGTTTAATGCTTGGAAAACGTGTTAATCTTTTGACTATCGTGTTTATATCCTTTTGCAATTTGTATGTTTTCCGGCTTTTCAATAACCGGCTGGGCTGATTCTTTATGTAACACCTGTTTTCACCGCGCGCCGAGGCATTTTATTCGTCATAAGCTTTTTCGTCTGGCCGAGTTTTATCGATAAAGTTTCACTATATCCTATTCGCTTTGTTACCTTCTTATAACTTAGATTTGCTGCCAGCGGTTTATATCTGTGATATAAAATATGAAAATCGCATTTCCATTTAAAATCACAAAACATAAAAAAATCAAATTTATTTCGTCTTTGAATTTCTCGCCGCGTAGAAGAGAATGCTTGTTTGCTTGCTACTAGCATTCTTGTTTGTTTGTTTCTCGTTTTCTTGTTGGCGTTTCGACGCCGCGCGCAACATCTGTGTGTAAAGACGTGACGTTGAAGCTGCCAACTCCTGCGCTCTGTTCATGAGAAAATGTGTCCTGGCATAAAACACACGCCATGAAATATTCAAGGATATTTTAATGGCCTTGACATTTATTAGCTTGTAGCGTCACCTCGCGTACGATAGCACTGATCGTCGTGTATGATATAGGCAACCAATGTTTCATTGTAACGTTGTGAACAAGAGCATATTTAAACGGATGACACATGTCGTGTCAGGTTTTAGGCACAGACAGACGTTAAACATTTACCATTTGCTGATTTCACGCATTGTTTGTCGATTATTAATTTGTTGATGTTAATTTATGCTGCTGCTTTTTTATACATGCTTGTTTTACACACTGATTGATGTGAAATGCGCATTGTATATGCGAAGCGATATGTTTTCATTGCGTTATTGAGGACTTTCAATTTATCATCGAATCTCTCGACTGTTTTGGCCGAAAATTTGCTGAAAACGTTTTCACGCTCGAGTGTGCGGGCGTGTGTAGGTGTGCATTTGCATTTCCGGAAGTTGCCAATGTGAACAAGCGTACGAATATCATTTATCAAATTATACGCATTGCTAGCGACGCCAGTTATGCGCAGCGCGAATGCAGATCGCAAAACGAGCAGTGCTCGCGGTTGAATATCGCGGAATTGTTTGCGGCGGGCGTGCGCGCACTTGGACTACTTCCAAATATGTCAATTAGAAGAGCAAACAATTCGCGTTGTGCGGCGCGGATTTATCCGTGGGCTCGAATCATCACTCACATCCACTTAATAATTTCCGATTGATTGTTGTAGCTAAACCAATATTTATTCATTGAATTCCAGCGAATTCATGTTTTATTAATTACTAGCAACTCTCTAGCGACTTCAGAGACCTAGAGAATGCTTTTTTTCAATAATAATTGAATATTCTACTAGTTAATGTATTCAATTAATAAATTTACGAGTTATTACAGGCGTAATTGTTATCTCTAATTAATTATTAACTGAATTTAATTCAATTTCGATGTTTGCGTTCGTTATTTTTATGAAATGTTTTTTTAATGCCTAAAAATCGAAATAACCTGAAAAGTTTTGTGTCAAAAAATAAAATAGGTTAGGATGCGTTGATTATGTCAAACGACATAACCTTATTTTTGATCTTTCAATCGTTATTCCCCTTCCAATGTTCCGTAATATTTTTCCTTGGAATTTATGCAAATTTAACGGTATTGTTTAAATGCCAGAATAAAACGTCCAAATTGCAGCAAATAAAGCACAGTGTGAATGCGATGATTATGCATTCCGAGGCAGCAGCGACTTATTACGCCAACAATTCGCACGCATTGAGCGCGCGCCGAGCCGCACTGGAGCAGTTGAAAGTGAAGAGTTAAGAGTTGTCGCTTTGCATTTTAATTACGCCCTGCATGTTTATCGTGCAACAGCCCTCGGTAGTCGGTGCACTAACACTAAATAGCGCCACCAGACGCACTCACAATGAAGCAATAATAGCTCATGCATTGCACAAGACAAACAAAGCAAGGAAAAAACCTTTTCACCAAACAGAACTTTAACAATTTCGCTCTTTTCCAGCGTGCGCGACGTGCAATTAACGCTCTGTTTTGTTCTATTTAATTTAGCGATTTGTTGTGTTATTTATCATATCTACGCGACGCAACAAAAAGCTTTGTTTGCCCTGAAAGTATTAACGCAAAGAAAGAAATAATTTGCTGTTTTATGAGATTCATTAAATCTCCACTCGGGGGCGGAACGGATGAAGCGGAAAGCTGCTTTCGCGCGGCGGTATAAAAAAAAGCGTGGCCTTTGCTCCCGAATGCGCTTGATCTTTACCGGCCCCTGTCATCCCGCCGCCTTGGGTCTCACTTAGCGCTTCACGCTTCATTGTGCGGACGGTTTTTTGATGCGCTCTTCGTGAGACCTGCGCCACACCGTCATCCCTTCAATTTACTCTCTAATTCGCTATGAAAGCCGCGCATCAAACGGGTTGATGAGACGAATCCCCTTCAAATCCACCAACCTCTTCAGCAGGCGCGCAAAAATAATTAAAAAGTTGCCTGGCAATTAAGAATATCATTTAAATATTCATAAGACGCTAGTTTACATACAGGTTGTCGGTGATAGCATTAATGTGAGGTTATGTTCGATAGAATGTACAAACAAATTCGGTAGCTGTTGCTTCCTTCGCATTCGAAGGCTCATGCTGTTTAATAAATATTTATTCAGCGTTACCTTTGATAATGTTATGTGCGTACATCGGGAAAGTGGCGTGGCGCACGGCTTGCAGATTGCTACATTATGCAAATCCGCGCGGAAAGCCTCCGAGAGGAGTGAATGTAAAATGCATGTGGGACACATGTGTGTTGTTGGAGGTGGAGAAACAGGCGCACAGGATGAAAGATG